ACGTTCATGGCAACATCTATCTCGATCCTGTTAGTAATTTCTCTATCTCTTCTTCGTTTCCTGTTTCCGTCTTTCCTAATGGTTCGTTTGCGAGATAAAGGAGTTCCGGAATTCTTCTTACGACGCTCTGAAACTGTTTCTATGGAGATTTCTGTTGAAATTCCGGTGCCGTTTTGTTCTAGTTCTGGATAATATCGTCGTTTTATCTTACATTTAATTGAACTGTCGTAGTTATGGATAGATTAGAGATTGTTGTTTAGCGGAAGATTAAGAAATGTATGACTAATTTAGTGAATCAACCGCAAAAATCTACTGGTGGATTTTGATAGAATTGAGTCTTCTGTGATGCGATTCTTGTTTGTATTTCTGCTCTTGTGTGTAGCATGAGTTGTCTATTGACTTAATATGTTATCTATAGTAATAGTTCACTTTTGGTTTGCAGCTTTGTTTGAAATTCATTGACACTGAGCAGTTTCAAAGGTATGTTGTTGGATTGTGCTCATTTCCATGGTTATATTATTGATGACTACAGTGTTCTTATTCTTTAATCTAATTCCTTGTGGCAGGCTTCGTGAACTAAAGCAACTTGGTGAGTCGGCTTGCGTTTTCAACTCATGTTGCCCTCTCCTCTTGTTTAACAAGGAAGACGGACTTGTTTTGTCTGTTTTTTTCTCTCGATTAAGAAGCATTTATCTTGAGAATCAATAGAAATGCTAGGGTTGAATATAGAAAGTTTTCCTTGAGTCTTGAGTGGTGTATCTTCTTTCTTTGAGAATTTGTTTTTACATTGTTCAGGAGTGACAAACATGGTATATCCTGGAGCTGTACATTCTAGATTTGAGCACTCTTTAGGCGTGTATTGGCTTGCAGGTGAAACTGTTCAGAGGCTTAAAAGTTTCCAGGTATTTGGAAATCTTGTACAAATTTCAGTGGTTCAGTCACATTTTGTCAAGTATGGTAAGGCTGTAATTTACGTTTTTAACTTTTTATAGGGAATGGAGCTTGGTATCGACAATCATGATCTTCAGACTGTGAGACTTGCTGGTAATTATTGTTAGCTCAATGACTACATTATTCGTTGATCCAATTTCTGAAATCTGTTTGTATATGTAGGACTTCTCCATGACATTGGCCATGGGCCTTTCAGTCATATGTTCGAGCGTGAGTTCCTCCCAAAGGTCATAAGTGGCTGTCAGTGGTATGTTGCACATTCCTTGAAAAGATCAATGCCATGCATGGTGTTACTTGATATGATACAAGAAATATGCCTTAAGTTTTAGTTTTTTCGCTCTTTGGATTATCCTTCTCTCTAGCTCTTTATATACCAGTTCTTCAATGCAGGTCTCATGAGTCAATGTCTGTTAACATGATTGACCATATAGTTGATACACATCACATCGATATTGATGCACAAATGCTGAAAAGAGTAAAGGTAACTTTCTTTCTTAAGACTGTTTTGCTTGTCTCAGATGACATCTAGTATTTGAAAATGGAAACAGTGACATTAGTTTTAGTCCTTACAAAGCCAATCTAATACTTGTTGCTTCCATTCCCTCTTTACTGATGATTCTCTCAAATATTTACTTAACAGGATATGATACTAGCTAGTACTGAATTTTCTCAGCTGAAAGTAAGTTTTATAAAAGGCACGTTTTCTATTCTAGTCAAACATGAACAACTACTTATGCTTTGTATATATTTTCACTTTTTCATAATCTTCAGAGCAACGCAGAGAAACGTTTCTTGTATGACATTGTTGCTAATGGTCGAAATGGGATTGATGTGGACAAGTAATTCTATCTATTCTTTACTTATATACTTATCTCTGCAGTTTTTTGCTTTTACTTTTCACTCATGGTGATGCTTAGATTTGCATCTATCTTACAAAGTCAACTTTTAATTTCTACAAAATTTTATAGGTTTGACTATCTTGTCCGTGATTCTCGAGCTTGTGGACTGGGATGCAATTTTCAGTTCCAGAGGTCTGCATACTACTCTATAGTAATTTCAGTTTTTGCTAATAACAAAATTGCTAATTATCAGAAGTCTGTAGACTGACAGAGACAATGAGAGTCATTGACAATGAAATCTGCTACCGCGCTAAGGAGTGTGAGTTTTTTTCCACCTGATATTCTGTATTTGGTTTTACTTATATGTCCTTGTAAACCCGGATGAATGTTGCAGATCGTAATGTCCACAAGCTATTTGCGACTCGAGCTGATCTTTATCGAACCGTCTACACGCATCCAAAAGTAAAGGTATTGTATCGTTATTATTCTCTCTGTTCCTTTTTTATTTTTTTCTCTTTCCCACTTGTTTCCTTCCATTCATTTGCAGGCGATAGAGCTTATGATAGTAGATGCCATGGTCAAAGCCAACGATTTCTTGGGGATTTCTTCTTTCATTAGTGACCCATCTGAATACTGGAAGGTACAGTCCTACCTCAAAAGACAAATCTTTCCCTTTCCACGTCAAAATTCTTTTTCCTATTTACATAGTTTTTGTTCTTCACAAATGCAGTTAGACGACACAATCCTGAAAACCATCGAAATAGCTCCAGATCCAGAACTTGCAGAAGCTAAAGAGCTGATACTCCGTGTTCGCAGAAGGCAGTTGTACCAAGTAATTATACAATGTTACCCATTTCTTTTTTTATACTTAGTTAGTTTTGGAATTTCCCTCCTGAAGAAAAGCCTGTATGAATTTTTACTTCCAGTTCTGTAACGAGTATGCGGTTCCAAAGGACAAAATCGATCATTTCAAAGCCGTCACTGCTCAAGATATCATCTGTTCTCAGGTTTGTAATCTTGAACACTTAATAAGAGGAAAACTATATTGCACTGTCCATTGCCATACTTATATTACTTTTGATTTAACAGAAGCACACAAGCTCGACACTAAAAGAAGATGATATCGCTGTTACGAACGTCAAGATTGATTTAGCTCGTGGAAGAGAGAATCCTCTTGAATGGTAAACAAACACTATATAGCTTCTTTGTTTGATCTCAATTTAGCTAATTAAAATCTAACGAACTAATATATTTTTGTGGGTTTTGTCACAACCAGCATCAACTTCTTTGAGGTACATGATAGTCTCTTCTTCTTATACAGATTTTGCTTCTAAATATGTGTAAAAAGAGGAAAACATGTAAATAACACAGGGAATCTCTTTATGGTATTTACAGGATTATGATAGTGCAGAGAAGTTTGGTATACCTGAGGACCGAGTCAGTCACTTGTTACCAACAACATACCAAGACATGATAGTGAGAGTATATGCCAAAAAAACCAGAATTGGTATGTTGTGATGATTAACTCTCTTTATGATCACATTACTGTTTCTTTTATATAACCACAAAGTAACGTTTTTATATATTTTGGTTTGCAATATTAAACAGGTAGAAGCAGTTTCTGAAGCATTTGAAAACTTCCAAATGAGAACGTATGGGATCAAAACTCAAGTACACGCAACACCTGAGAAAAAGAAAAGGCGTGTGATGTAATTACCGTGGCCTTAATTCATGTCATTTCTTACGGTTTTATTTTGGTTTTTAGCGTCTTGAAACTTTAAATACGGATATGTATATAAATATATAATCTCTAGCATGCGTATAGACTTACGGTATCGAAGCCTTGGATTAAGACAGCGTCTTTATACGTAAGAGAAAAGGAAAAGCAAGGCACCTTTTCTTAAGATTTCGGATTTCGTACGGTTTTTTTTTAGTCTTTTTTAGTCACAGCTTTGCAGATTGTGGTTTACTATTTTCTTTTCACATGGAAGGAACTAGCAACGACTAACATTTTTCTCATAGGATATTATTTTACTCTAAAATGTTGGAGAATCATGTTTAACCTAAAACAACTTTAAGAAACAAAGTGTTTTGTTGTTTATGGATTTTTTTTCTTTTTTTCTTTTCTAATGCGTTAGTCAAATCTGCAATTATTTTAAGGTTGTGGGGGAAACTCTATTAATCATCCTGTCGTTACAAAATTTTGTAAATTCTTGTTGAAAATCTCCGTTGGGCCTGTATACCATTTATTATTGGGTCAATTTTTCAATTAAATGAGATATTTATTGTTTGTTTGGTTTAGAAGTTAGTTTTGCCCTAGTCAATTTCATTATTTTATTTCTTCATTATCAACTCAAATATTTAGTTTTTGTATGACCTAATTCAGTTCTCATTTCTCAATATGATAAAAAAAAAAAACAAATTTAAGCATTTGTATAACAAGTTGTGAAAAAGTATTGACCAGGCATGTGCTCCTGAAGTAAAATCACACAATCAAGAAACGAAATGCATCCAAAACATCAACAAAACTATCTATAACATAACAAAACAGAAAATTTAAAAAATATCCGAAACATGATACATATATATATCTAGTCCAAAAATTTTCACGCCAATATTAAAGTTGGATTTGACTTAACTTAGATTGGGCTCATATTAAAGTCATATGCCAAAATAAAACTAAAATATTAAAAAAATTGTTTATCAGCTTAAGATTCTTCACAGTAAATAATAAATAAATATAAATATGTGTGAATTAAATGTGTGGATTAAATGAGTGTTTGAATAGACTTAAAAAATTAATTTAAAACTTTGTTTAGCTTAGGTGGAAATTATAGTAATAAAAAAACTGTTTAATATATTGTTAAATTGGACATGTTGAACCTACACTTCTCATTTGAATTCCTTCATTGTTTAATAAAAAAGTTAGCTAATTTGATCTAGAAGATAACAATCTTGTTATTTTATATACCATGGTCAACTTAATTATTTGAATAGAAGATAACAAAAAAAAAAGGAATAATTTGAAGAGTTTAATAATTTATCATTAAATGACTGCCACGGAATCTTTGTAGTTTGTAAACCCTATTTCAATTCTCTATACGATAAATTATTTAAATATTTATAACTGAGTTATGAAGAAGCATTGACTAGGTCCCCCACACATAAGAACAAAGAACAGAATATGCATCTAAAACATAAATAAATATAGAAAAAATCCAAAATTTGTTATTTTCCCTCAAAACGTTTCACACACCAGAAAAAATGTAGTAGAAAAACAAATCCAGACAATCCTCATAATCCAGAAACTAAACAATTGAAAATTCTACCAAAATAAAAAAAAAACAGAAGCCTAAAACATACACACAAATTGTGTATGTAATGTACGTAAAAAGATTGAATCCAAAGAACAATTCTTCAAACCCTGTTCGTTGCTGAAATCTCAACTTCTGATGGCTTCTCCGTCTTCTCCTTTGGAGTTGATTTGTAGTACATAAAGTACACTATCAACTGAGAAAGGGCCAACAAGGTTCCAATCCCATTACTTGCCTGTAATTTTTACACAGTTCAAATCAAGTTTTTACAAAATAAATAATAAGGTTTGTTTTATATACAGAAGAGAACTTACGAGGACGTAGTAATCGATCTTGAAGATGAGTGAGTAAGAAGTCCAAATTCCAGCATTAACGAAACAGACCAAAGACAACAAGAATGGCATGTATTCAACACTCTTTGTTTTTACCACTGTAATCTGTTAATTAACAACAACAACAACAACAACAGTATCAATCAATCAATCAATTAGAAACAAAAATACTAATTAAGGAAATCAAGAGAGACTTACAATGGCCAATGAAGGAGATGCATACATAGCAATGTTGAAGATATCGCAAATCACACCAACGAATGTTTGCTTAATGAAATCATTCTTAATCACAAAGAGCGTAATAAGAACGATAATCGCAACAGAAACAACTTCACCAAGTAAGTAAAGCAAAATCTTCTTCTGCAAGTATACAAACAACATACCAAAATGTAATCAGAATTAACCAAACCAATTTATTATGATTAAATAAGGTTTAAATAATTAAATAACTTACTCTATAGTTCTGCTTGTGACCACAGTACATCAAGTAGACACCAACGTAGAAAAGTTCAATGACTAACCCAACACCATTAATGGTAGACACTAGATAACTGTCTTTGTGAACCACAGGGAGACCGTAAAACACCCACAACATACAATTCATCACCGTTGCTACGTATGGCACATACGAAAACTCCTCCACTGATTTCTTCTTGAAGATCCTCCAAAACGTCTTCCTATAACCAATACAATTGTTATAATTCATATCTACAATAATCCTATGGATTAACCACCACAATTCAACACATATCACACACATTATCAAATAACTCTCATCTACAATAGTCCTAGAAACTAACCACCATAACACTACACATTATATAATGACGACTCTCAAGCATCTATTATTAGCAAATAGATTAGGTTTGATCTCATGATTATATGATTAGTGAGGATTAAGGAATCTTACGCTGGTGCGGCAAAGAGACCAAAGGAGATAACATTCCCTGCATTAAACAAGAGATCAAATTTGTTAATCACATGAGAATTTTTGCTAATCAATAACATAAACACAGATCAATCATGACGATGAAGCTATAGAGCCAAATCCCAAACCAAATAAGCATCGATCCACCATTAAAATCAACCTTAAACACACACAAAAAGCATGAGCGATCGATTAATCTACCATGACAAAAGCTTCGTATTTAGAAATCGTGATCAATGAAGAATCGTTACTACGTCGGATCATATACATATAGATCTAACATGAGCGATCGATAACAAAAAAAGCTTCGGATTCAGATCAACAATGTAACTACGACGAAGAATCGTTACTACGACGTGAATCAGAACGACGAAGAAGCAAAATCGATAGAGAAGGAAGAGATTGTTACCGATAACTCCGATGATGAAACGAACTTGTTTCGCATCAACCATTGTGAAATCGCCGTAAAAAGAGAGAGAGAGAGATTGAAGAAGAGAGAGCTAATGAAGAAGAACAAGTGTAGAAGAAAACCTAATCGAGAGCGTTTGGGAATTGTGTGTGTGTATCTCTCTCTCTATATATATATAGAGATAGAGAGAGAGAGAGTTATTAGGAGATTAAGATAAGATAGACGTTTGAGTCAAGGAGTCAATATTCTCCTTAACTTGGGGAATTATCCAAAAAATTAAATTTCGTAGGAACATATATTTATTTGTTGTGATTCTCTTTTACTTTATCATTATTATTTTTATTTTTACCAAACGAATTGTTTTTTTTTGGAAATTAAAATTATCTTTTCTTTTTTTGGCATTATCCAGGTAATTATTTAAAGACTAGTTATTTTGACCAAAGATTATCTTAAAAAGCTATAAAATTGGATTTATGGTATAATATCTGATTTTCCGCAAGAAAAGTATAAAAATTTAATGTCTCTTGACACAAAAAAAAATTAGAATGTACAATAATGTCTAATACGTTTTTCATTAAGCATAAGATTTTTAAACAATTCCATGACTTTAACAAAATTTTATACCCGGAAAAAAAAACTAATGATATTTTAAATCTTTGACTTGGAAACTTAATAAACGTATATTAAGAATTAATATATATATGATCGTTTTGAGAATTGTATGGATAAACTTGAGATCTGCGTAAAAACTTAAATTAATTAGTCGTTTTTTTTTTGACCAAAGATTATCTTAAAATGCTATAAAATCGGATTTATGGTATAATATCTGATTTTCTGCCAGAAAAGGATAAACATTTATCCCAACATTTATTGTCTGTTGACAAAAAAAAAAAGAATGTATACAATGTCTAATTTTGATAAAGCATAATATTTTTTAAAACAATTCCATGACTTGAAAATAATTTTATAACCGGAAAAAAAACTAATGATATTTTAAATTTTCGACTATGAAAACTTAATAAACGTTCATCAAGAATTTATGTGATCGCTTTCAATATAGTTTTAAGATAAATATTGTTTGAATTGTATGGATAAGCTTGAAATCTGAATAAAAATTAAATTAATTAGTCGTTTTAATTTGTTTCTCTGATAATTGAAAATATTAAAAAACAAAAAGATTCTGAATTTTTCAGAGTGGTCGTGTGTTCAAAGTTTTCCGTTACGTCCGTACTAGTTTGTTACACGCTGAAATTACTGATAGGATCTTAGTTTGCTACGTAATTACGTGATTTGCCACCAACAGTACAATTCACGACAAACACATGCAAAATCTACGAGCGATATCGTCGGGCTTGCTTGCCACGGCGAATAAACCGGATAGTTATTTCAAATTTTATATCGGTTTAGCAATGCAATTCCGGTTTAGTCTTCAATGCAAACGTTTTATAGACTTTTAGTATCCTGAGGTCAAAGTCTTTATTATTTGCGTAGAGTTACGTTTATTTCCAAAATTACAAAAGTAATTAATTCACACAGACATAGATTTAGAAGATTTTACTACCTTTTAAAGCATTACATTTATTGTGGTCAAATTCACAACATTAATCGGTGAGTTTTACCAACTCTTAATTTCTTGTTTTTTCTCTTCTTGCGGACACCAAAATTTTATAGGCTGAATGAGATTAACATACTCAGAGACCCATTAGAAAAGAAAACGTGGAAGACGGTGCATATATGACACCAACAATGTTTGTTTAGCAAATGACCTTTTAAATTGCGAAAAGCATAATGAGAACAATCGCTATACTAATGATCTCATCTACCAGCCATAATAACACTGTTTTTCTGCAACATATGCATTAACTAATCATAACATCATCATTAGCAAAACATCAATAGACATATTAATTCTGAGATTAAGGATTACAGATTGAAGAACATACACATAAATTTTTCTTGTTGCGCCTAGGTCTACTGTAGGAAAATCGTCCTAGCAAATAAAAAGAAGCCAATAAAATAAATAGTTTTAATTCTCAAATTGGGTTGAGTAAGAAAAAGACGTGGGTTAATCCCTAGGGGGAATCCTTATATTCACATTTTTTTAACCAATCAGAAACTACCACAAATAAAAAAAAAACATATTTAACTGTAAAATCTAATCTGCTATAAAATCGAAGTTATATATCGGTTTGGGGTTTATAAAGAAGGGTTAGAGTTTATATTTTATTATTAATCAAGGTCAAAAATCGGTTTAGATTTATAATGGGTTTAGATTTTACAATTAAACGAGGTTAAATGTTCGGTTTGTGATTATATTTGTAATTAAACGAATTATATGTTGGTTTGGGTTTATAAATTAAAGAATGGTTAGGATTTAGATTTTACAATTAAATGAGTTTTATTTAAATTTTATTAGGTGGCAAATCCTGATTGGTTAGAATAAGAGTGAATAAAAAGATTCACCCCTAAGAGTGAACCCAAAAATTATTCGTCGAGTAATAGCTGAAACAAGGATACTATCCATTTTGTGAATCTCCATCAGGTGATGTTTCCCCTCTTTGATGATGTGACTTACAGAGCTCCTCCGGCGATTCACCCTCCACGCCTTGCTCATACCTTGCGGCCTCAAAGACAACATATAATGAAGCCTTCGCCCAAACATGTGCTAAACTCTTTAAATCTGAGATCTATCGCTCGACGTGTCACAGATCCACCGGATCTGAGTTCCTCTCGGTTTCAATCCGAAAAAAAACCTTGCAAAATCTTCCGCCACCAACCTTATCTCTGCCCTTGAATCTCTCAGTCGTGTGAATACAACAGTTCCACTATCTCCGGCGACAAATCTCTCAACTCCAATCTTATGTTATTCGATTCATAGCCGCCACGCTACCATCGCTTACCCAGCTGTGAACCTAGGGTTTCACTTCTTGGCCTCTTCTCAATCTGCGGCCCAACTCCTCTAACTATCCAATCTAGGCCCATTGGTCTTATTTCTTTGCCTAGGAAATTAAAAGGGCCACAAACCATCCCAAATTGCCCCAAGTTTGATCAAAACTTTCTTTTGCCTTTTCATAGCCATACTTTGTGTCGTTTTGTGGAATCAATTGATCGAGGACGTCTTTTGGAACATAATTCACCATTGTTGCTAGTTCGGTACAAAGATTTCGTGGGAAATCTGTTCTTAATATCACCTAGGGATATTATCTATGAAACTAATAGATTGAAGAAGAACGGTATTATGATCACGTCTCCAAGGAGCGGTGATTACCGGAGCTTCTTCAATCCATTTTTTACCATTTCCTTTGAATACAGATTTCAAACATGTGCACATCATCAACATTAAGGTTATTATTCATAATATTGAAAGCTTGAAGAAGAACGGTATTATGATCCCGTGTCCAAGGAGCGGTGGTTACCGAAACTTCCCTAGCTTTTTATCTCCAATCCCATCCGACCAAATAACCATCAACACCCATCTCCTTGCCGATGAGCAATTCCAACTCGCCCTTTTCGCGCCGGCGAGAAACTCGGACATGGAACCTTCTTCAACGTCACCTCGTCTTTTGATAGTGAGCAACTTTTCGTCCATCGATTCGTTCTTGGAGATCATTCGACTAGCCGTGACCTCACATGTGCCATAATGCCTTTTAGCTTTTGTCTCAAAGCTCTCATAGAATTTATGTCGTTTTACCCTATCTATCTTTTTATGGCATTGGGGAATGTCTCTCTTATTTATGTTTTAACCTTTGTGATCTTTGAATCACCTCTCCTTATACTTGGTTTGATTTGAATAAATGAAAACAAGTATTTGTCCAAAAATAAATTGTAAAATCCAGAGACTCCGAAATCAGTTATAGCATAAAAGACTTGTTATTCTAAGATTTTTGTTCTAAGCAGGACAAAAAATTGAGTAAATCTATAGAACTTAGTTTTGACATATGAGAGATAAGAATGTAAAAGAGACAATTAGTATACTACTATCACTAGATTTTAACCCGCTAGATGATTTATTTTAAAGTTAGGTATAAAAATATTTTGTAAATTGTATCTCTTTATAAATATTTATTTATATTATAGTTTACAATTGTTATTAAGTAACGGTTATACCACGAGTCCACGAGACAATTGTTAATACACTCAGAATTTAACCCGTATTAAAGCGGCATGTTAATGATATTTATAAATATTGATTCAAATTTGTCCGCCATATAAACCCGTTCCGAAATATAACCTGTTCCGTAATTTCTTAATCCGTCACGTGATTTTGTTTTTATTTTAAAATTTAATGATTATTATTATATATAAAGTTTACAAATCATATCATTCTCTAAGACATTATATTTAATAAACTGAAGATTTAAATCTGTATTAAAGCGGCATGTTAATGATATTTTAAAATTTTATAAATATAGATTCAAACTCGTCCACCATATAACTTCGTTCCGAAATATAACCCGTTCTAAAAGTAGTAATTTTTAAAATTTAATGATTATTTATTATGTATAAACGTTTGCAAATTGTATAATTTTCTAAGATATTTATATTTTATAGTTTACATTGTTATTAAGTAACATTATACCACGAGACAATTTTTGGTTTTATACAATCTTTTCTAAATGAGACTGATTTAATATGTCCTAATATTGGTGGTATTAAAAAAATTTAAGGATTTAATCCGTATTGAAGCGGCGGATTAATGCTATTTTACTCTTTCATTATTGTTGATTCAAAAACCCGTCCCGCCAAACCCGTCCCGCCAAAAAACTCATTTATTTTATTACTGTTGATCTTATAATTATGATATGATTCTGAATCATTGTCTAAATATTTTTAATCGATGTAGAACGTTGAACACACATTTTCGTCAATTGGATAATATATGTCCGTTTTTAAAATTTCGAATCACAGTATATGCAGAAAAAAAAATTGAATTTTTTTTATACTTTATGTATTATATGATGATTCAAAACAGTTAAAAATAAATCAAACAAAGATGATAGGAGAATCATAATTCTAAATCTTCTAAATATCTAAATTATTAAATATGGAATATCCGGTGTATGAGTTGGGTTAAATATAATCCGATCCAACAAATTTTTTGTACCAAAATATGTAAACGGGTAGGGTATCCAAAGTATCCTAGAACAATTTTACTCACCCTATTCAAAAGTGACTGCAAAAATACTAGTATAGATTTATGAGATATATTTGCAGTAAGAGAGTTCTAGTTCATATGAAACTGGGAAAAGAGCATTTCGCTTCCGTCATTTATCCATCTTGTCCTGAATTGCAAAGTCACAATGTTTTAAGAAATCTCATTGAGATGATGAGAGTAATTAACAATACTTTTATTCAGTTCCAATTGAATCCTATAAGCAATAGTATTTTTTTCCCGCAATATTATGGATCTCTACACTCTCCAAATAATCAATTTTCTCAAAAACTCTACGATTTTTACCTATATCTCTAGCACTAAAACCTCTCGGCAGGTGCACATTTTCGATATCCTACGCCACGAGAGTCGGTGACTTCTCATATACTATTTTTACCAATTTGGATAATTACATTTTTTTTAATATAAATTTCATTGATTATAAGGGCTTGTTCAAAGATATATTTATAGCCGTACTAGTTGTTACACGCCACGTCAGAATTCTGTTTCTGAAACTACTGATAGGCAGGGGCGGACGTAGAGTGTTTGAAGGTGAGACATGTGCCCCATATTCAGGGCCTGCCCATACTTAAAGCCCAACAAACTGGTGCTTTAAGCAGCAGAATATGTATAACAATTTAGGAGCATCAAATTTGTGTAAATATCTTATAGTGTAAGCGGTTTGTATCTCATTTAACCTCTTAAGGTGGCGAGGTCGACCGTTGATGTGCTTAATTATCTTAACAATTTTTATATTTTAATTTGTAAATGAGTAAAAAAAAAATTTTGGGCTTTAGACATCAAAAAAACTTTGGGCCGGCCCTGCCCATACTAATTTATTATTTTGTGTGTAATAATTCTTTGATAAAGTTGCTAATTAGCATATTTGGTTGGTCTCATGATAAAAAAAAAAAACTAAAAAAACATGTAAGCAAAGACAACTCGAAATTCAGTAATTGTTTTCACGGAGGTAAATGACCTGGCATATACTCCGACGGTAAGGTAAATAAATTTTAGTAATTCTTCATTTTCTTTATATTAATAGTTGAAAACTTAGCCTTTATAGTAGTGAATTGATCATGAGCACTTCTCACATATATTTTGGATCGCAAATCATTAGCTTTTTGTAATGGGATGAATCAACGATTCCACCATTTTCACTTGGTTCCATGTTGTAAATATAGCTAAAAGACTTGGTATTCTAAGCTTTTTTTGTTTTTTTCTCTTTTTTTGGGTTTCTAATCTTTATGTTCTAAACATGTACAAAGATTGCTGAACCTTATGTGAAAATCTGAGACTCCGAGATTGGTTTATAGCACAAAAGACTTGGTATTCTAAGCTTTAGGTTCTAAACATGTACAAATATTGAATAGTTATAGAACTTAGTGTTGACATATGAGAAATAAAAATGTAAAAGAAACTATTATTATACTTATCATTTAAGAGATATATGTGCAACCAGAGTTCTAATTGTTCATTCATTTTTTCTGGATTATCTTTTTATTTATTTGCAATCAAATCAAGGGAGTGGGTAATGGATTTATGTCAGTGTCAAGAAAACACATTGACCCTACGACAACCAACATAAACCATTTAGAGCCAAAGACTTTGAAATTAAAGTCTTAAATGTTATTGGTTTATAGAAGATTTCATTTTTGTTTTGGTTATCACAAAGAGCAAAAACTCCTAACCTAAACCAAAGACTAGATTGTGTTTGAAAACAAGTCAAAAGTTCCCATTTGTTTTTTAGATCCATACTTGAGTATATCACTTAAAAATTCCAAAACTAATCAAGAATACTTATAAACATATAAAAAGTAAATCATATTATAATCGCTTAATTGATGTCTAATAAGAACCAGCATGTATATAAATAAATACATTTATATTTATAAAGTTAACAGTGAATTTGTTGAGAGAGTAAAGGAAAGTATATGGAAAGGAAGAAAATAAAGAGAACCAGTGACTCCAAAGTGAAGAAAAAAGAGACAAAGATAATAATAAAATAAAGCTAAAGCATCAGTCTTTTGGAATCCATTATTGTTGAGCATGCGTAATTTAATTTCATCTCATATGATTAACAAGCATAATGCAACTGAAGTTTTTATCAGAATCAAACCCTTTTGAACAATATGGTACAACATATGATTAAGAACCCCCCAAAATATGATCAGTAACAACCCTAAGTATCGATCATTTTGATTGAAAAATGAGCAAAAGATACTACCTTTCGTCGTTCTCCAGCTTCTTATGTTCTTCCATCCATGGAAGTTTCGGAAGATCATCAACGTTAAGTGATGAAGAAGGCAACCTTCTTTGAGCATCTGAAGAGAATTTATCTTTCTTGGGCCACAACCAAATCTTCGAAACCGAAAAGCTCTCGCCTTTAGCCACACTATTGATCTTTTTGTTGTCTTCTGATGATGAATTCCCTGTCTGCTCAGATTCTTTGTCCTGAGGTTTCAAACGCGGCAGTCTATCGTTGGCAAACGGGACTTTAAGTTCAGAGTTACCGAGTATATACTGATACGAACCCATTGAGAAACATCTTCTTGCATCCAAATTACTGCTACTAGTCTCTCCTCCAGCAACAACATCCTGACCCTGACCATTACCAACATTGTCTAGCCTCTTAAATTTCCCCAATCTCACCGGTAAAACTCCTTTCTCCACAACGATTTCTTGGATCTCCATAGTTTTCTGGCTTCCATTCTCGGTTACACCCTCTTCATCTTCTCTTATATCATCGAAATCAAACATCGGGTTCTCCATTGAGAAACCAGGGGAAAAGAGAGTGCCACGACAAAGAGGACAAGTCGAATTTGACTGAAGCCAAGTATCAATACAGTTCAAATGAAAAGCATGACTACACATTGGCAACAATCTAAGCTTATCTTTCTCAGAAAACTCACAGAGACAAACCGCGCAATCGAATGGCTCTTGAGCAGCACCATTACCACTACCAACAATCTCTTTGTAGTGAAAAACAGGTAAAGCGTCAATAAAAGCTTGATCAAGACCAGAATCATTCAAATGAAAAAGCTGTTGAAGCTGTCTTTGAAGAGCATCAGTAGTTGAGATCTCAGGGAATCTATTAGACCTTGAAGAAGCAGTAGCAGAAGGATGCTTAATAAGAAACCTAACCAGTAATGAAGAAGCCCAGAAATGAAGAACAAGACAGCTAGTATCACAATTACAAACAAAACCGCCGGACTGATTCTGTTACCGGACGACGGTGGCGGAGTTGACGGCGGAGAGAGAATTGGGTCTTTGAAAAACGGTGGTGGGTACGCAAAGTTCCCATCTTTTTGCTCAATTTTGAATCGAACCCAAGACATCTTGTAAGATTTAGGTCACTTAGAAACAAGATTTCACCATAAGAAAAAAGATCTCAATTTTCAAGATCTCAAAAGCTCAATTAAAAACAAACAACTCCAAGTTAAGTGGAGAAGAGTTCCAATTTCAATAACAACAACATCAGAGATACACAAAACTCACCTAAAAGCTCTCCAAGATTCTTAAGCTCCTCTTGACACAAAACCCTAATCAAAGAGGGCTTTTTTATTGCTTCTATATGTCAGATTTGCAGAGGAAGAAGAGAGAGTAAAGGAACTCTCTTTCCTCTTGCTTTCTCTTTCTTCTATCTCTATGTCTATCACTATAACCTTTCCTTTTCTTGAGCTTTAATGGTGGAAATAGAGAACCCGAAGAAAATGGCAAAAGTGATTTTCGAAGTGCGAGGCAAAAGTTGCAAAACAACAACATTGAAGAAATAAAGTAAAAATGAAAATGAAAAATAAATTAATAAAATAGTGTTTTATTGATTTGGGCCCACGTGTATTGATGTCAGATGGTCAACTCCAAAGACAAAAAATGACAGTTTCCTATGATTTTGGACTTATTATTAGATCCGTACTGGGCCGGACCAACAAGCCCAATTGTCTTATCGTAATCAAATCTACTATTAGGAGCGTGACCAGCTATAATAGTGGACAATCCGGTTTAGTTTCGGTTTTGGTTGTCTTGGTTTCGTTTTCAGTTTTATTCCATTTTACGAATACTTAAATGAAATAAAATTATTTGTAATTTAGTTTTTGATTTAATGAAATTTTGGTTTTGGCTTGATTCGGTTTTTTAATTCAAAAAATAACCTAGAATAAAACTTTTCTATAATTTTATTTCTATCTAATACTCTGATTATGTAAACAGACCACTCGATTGGTTTAAAATGGTTTGGTTTATTTAATTTTTTGGTTACGGTCTTGTTCGGTTTAGTTCGGATCAAATCTCTACACTTGAGAAGCGTATCTCTGTCAAGTGTCAACGAGCGTCTCAAAATCTAACCGTTGGATCAATTCTTTTGACGGTCATAGTCTCGCCGGCAGCATCGAACGGGATGTCGCCGGAGAAATGTCCCACGTGAGCTACTCCGCCGCCTACGACTGATAATTGGTGCGATTCTGGGATTCTTTGAACAAGTTACTGTGATTTAGTTGCTTTATCTTCTGTTGTTGGAGCAATCGTAGGTTAGTGATGACATTGCTCTTTGGAATTACTAAGTAATTACGATTGATTGATTTAGGTTGCTTTTGATCTTTGGATGATTCTGTTGTTGAAGCTGATTCAGCAACACTAAAGCAAAGTCTTTTATCAATAGAGGAGATATGTTCAAATGCAAGTTGGAAACTTTCTCCAATTGGATGATTGAGAAGGTATTAGAGCTCTATGGCTAAAGGTCCTTGTCTTAGGTCTCGTGGAGTAGTGGAATATGGATCCTTTTGATGTGAAGTATTGTGTCAAGTTGGGATATTTTATTAAGGAGAGGCTGAGTTTTTCCACAATGTTGTCGTCATTCATAAAGTCTTGGTTTTATTTAAAAAAATGACTAATTCCCTAACGTGGTGGAGTTAACAACCAAAAACAACATGATTGATTGATTTTGAATTCACTGAGAGTTTCTGGGGATCTAGATATCAAAAATCTATCATGAGAGAAACAAGAGAAGAGAAAGTGGCGTGGAGGTATTTTACCAGAGATGTTGTTCCGTTTGCTGCGATGTTTGCGGTCGAGTGTGCTACGGTTGGGTCAAACACACTGTTTAAGGCTGCAACTATAAGAGGATTGAGTTTCTATGTCTTTGTCTTCTACTCTTATGTTGTTTCAACCCTTCTTCTACTTCCACTTTCTTTAATCTTTGGAAGGTACTGATCTCCTCATCTATTCTTTGGCCTAGTATAGTCTTTTCAAGAATATGAACTTATGTTACATATGCAGGTCAAGAAGATTACCATCAGCCAAGTCTCCTCTCTTCTTCAAGATTTTCTTACTTGGGCTTGTCGGGTAATATTACATTTCCTGCTCTTACATGTATAGGGATTTCTAGCTTTTGTTTTCTAGGTTTTTTTAACTTGAGGGGAACAGGTTCATGTCGCAGATAGCTGGTTGTAAAGGTATAGAATATAGTTCCCCAACTCTTGCCTCTGCTATCAGCAATCTCACACCAGCTTTCACATTCACGCTCGCTGTTATCTTCAGGTTCCATCTCTTTCTTTTTCGTTTCCACACTAACTAACCTCACAAAATCTCAAACCTTTTGTTTTTATGAAATGACTAAGATTTATTCTTTGACATCATCAGTTTTCCTTCTTATGTTTACTGAGTAGTTTATACACGCACAGTACCATTTGATGCCAATCAATACCAGAAAATGCAGAAAACTCTTCACGTTTATTATGAAGTACTTTCACTAGTGGTCACAGAAGAGTCACTAGTACAAGTACAACCCTGTGATTGCTTAGATATGTTTTACCCTCATTCTTTCATGAGATAAGTTTGGTGCATATGAGGTCCATTTGTTACTATCAGTCTTATTATCGAACTGTTTTTTTTCTCTCTTTGGGTGACTCATTAAGGATGGAACAAGTAAGGTTAAGGAGCTCTGCGACTCAGGCTAAAATCATTGGCGCAATACTATCTATATCTGGTGCTCTGGTAGTTTTGCTATACAAAGGCCCACAAGTTCTCGCTGCTGCAACTTTTACACCTTTATCACCTACCATTTCACTTCACCAGCATTTGACCTCATTAGAGTCAAAGTGGATAATCGGAGGGCTCTTGCTTGCTTCACAGTATTTTCTTATATCAGTTTGGTATATTCTTCAGGTATAAACACTTGAAAATTTCACCAAAAAGACTTTGGGTTGTTGTTTACACATTAAATTGTGTAGCTGTCTATGGTTTCAGACTCGTGTCATGGAGGTATACCCTGAAGAAATAACCGTAGTCTTCTTCTACAACTTATTTGCAACACTAATCTCAGTACCAGTATGTATTTTTGCGGAGAGCAACTTGACTTCTTGGGTGCTTAAACCAGACATTTCCCTCGCTGCAATCATATACTCGGTGAGAATCAAATCTTGTAATCTGCTTCAAGTACTGACGATTTTATAAACTCAGAAATTAACACTTTGTTTCAGGGAGTCTTCGTTTCATTATTCAGCGCGCTTACCCACACATGGGGTCTGCATCTGAAGGGTCCGGTATACATATCCTTGTTCAGGCCATTGTCTATTGCGATTGCAGTCGCCATGGGTGCTATATTCCTCGGCGATGCACTTCACCTTGGGAGGTACCATCTCTTTTATCTTCGTACTTTCCAGCGCATTCATAAGGTTTTATCTGTACTGAGAAACATAGTACTCAACTCTTGGTAGTTGAAATGCTTAGTATCATGTATCTATCTATGGAATCACAATCAGAGAATTATATGGTCTATGGATTCTTTCTACATGAGCTCATATATGGTTTCTGCTGTATTATTTCGAGTGTGAGAAACACTTTAGTCTCCACAATTCCATTGTATATCTCTGTGTAAACTGCAATAAGCGTTGTGAGACAGTAATAACGTATATAGGTTTTGCATATATTGTGTTGGGCAGTGTCATCGGATCAATGATATTGTGCATTGGATTCTACACTGTGATTTGGGGCAAAGCAAGAGAGGATGCAATCAAAACTGTAGCTGGTTCTGAGCAGTCACCTTTTCTGCTTACACACATCATAGAAGATGAAGCCTTTCCATTAAGATAGGATTGATACAAGTGGATTCCTTATACTATTCATTAATAAATATGTATCCTTAAAAATGTGTTTATATATGTCTATACATAAAAGATATAATTTTCTTGTATTATTATGAGGTTACATGTGAATGAGTGTTTTTTTTCTTCCTTCTGCTTCCTTTTCTTTGATTCATGCAATGATTTTGAAAAAGTGAATACATGGTCGTGTTATGAATCTGGTAGAAATATTTGGTCTTCTAATTATCTTGCCAGTGCGTTCACGACCTTGCATAAGTGTCTGGTAGATTTATCCTTGGAGGAGAATATTCAATTGGAAGTTAGGAAATGCTTCAGCTGGAGGATTAAGCGCTAAGAAAAAAAGATGAAAGCTCCATGGCCAAAGAGTTCCTTTCTTAAGGTATACAGCTATCTTGGTAGATTTGTAGAACTCCATGGTCAGAGTTTCTTGAATTGGGTTCCCTGATTATCTGGATCTGATCCTTCATGATATGTATTTTAGTTTTATTGTGACAATTGCGTAAAGTATTGGTCAAGTTGGTGTGAAGTATTGGTCAATGTATATATTAGTTGTGACAATGATGTAAAGTATTGGTTAAGTTGGTGTGAAGTATTGGTCAATGTATATATTAGTAGTGACAATGATGTAATTTATCTAAATAAATTAATGTACCATTTAGCAAATGTGATGGGATTAACCACTATGATTTCTTATGAACTCACGTTGACTTCTGAGAATTTTTGAAAGTCTGACATCAGATCTATGACAAGAGGAGCAGGAGAGGAGACAGTGGCATGGAGTTACTTTTGCAGAGATGTTGTGCCATTCACTGCAATGGTTGCGGTGGAGTGTATCACGGTTGGATCTAATACACTGTTCAAGGCTGCGACACTGAGAGGATTGAGCTTCTATGTCTTTGTCTTCTATACCTATGTTGGTGCTACACTTGTTCTTCTTCCACTTTCCCTCATCTTTGGAAGGTACTGGTCTCCTCAAGTACTCTTGACCAGTATAAAAATTTCAAGAATGTGATCATGTTTTACATGTGCAGGTCAAAAAGATTACCTTCAGCCAAAACCCCTGTCTTCTTCAATATTTTCTTACTTGCGCTTGTCGGGTAATTATATACTCCTTATACTACTAGGTTTATGGGCACTTACCTGTTATTCTTTTTTAGTTTGCTAACTTTGGGGAAACAGGTTCATGTCACTGATAGTTGGTTGTAAAGGTATAGAATATAGTTCACCAACTCTTGCCTCTGCTATCAGCAATCTGACGCCAGCTTTCACATTCACGCTCGCCGTTATCTTCAGGTTCCACCTCGTTTTCTTTCGTTTCCGTTCTGGGATAGTATATAAATAATCTAGTTAACAATGGGGTAGTTCCACACTTATTAACTGTTCAAAGTTTCAAGCCTTTTTCTTTTGTCACAGCCACTAGTACAAGTGCAACCTTGTGGTTGCATAAAAAATGTTGTGCCCACATGTGGTTCTGAGAGAGATAGGGGTAAACTAGAGGTGGGTTTGTTTCTATCATCTGAACATTTAACTCTTACTGTTACTGCTTCCTTGTGTGACTCTTAAAGGATGGAACAAGTAGTCTTAAGGAGCTCCGCGACTCAGGCTAAAATCATTGGCACGATAGTATCTATATCTGGTGCTTTGGTTGTGGTTCTTTATAAAGGCCCTAAAGTTCTAACTGATGCAACTTTTACACCTCCATCACCTACCATTTCGCTTTACCAGCATTTGACTTCATTTGATTCAAGTTGGATAATCGGAGGTCTTTTGCTCGCTACACAGTATTTGCTTGTTTCAGTCTGGTATATTCTTCAGGTATGAAAAAAGACATTGGATTTGTTGGTGACACATATAACTCTTGCTAAATGTGGCAGCTCTATATGGTTTCAGACTCGGGTCATGGAGTTATACCCTGAAGAAATAACTGTAGTATTCTTGTACAACTTATGCGGAACACTAATCTCGGCACCAGTTTGTCTATTTGCGGAAAAAGACTTGACATCTTTTATACTTAAACCGGGTGTCTCCCTCGCTTCAGTCATGTACTCGGTGAGAATCAAACCTACTATGTTGCTTCAAGTGATGACTATATTTTAAGCTCAGAAACTAACACTCTGTTTCAGGGAGGCTTAGTTTCATCATTTGGCTCAGTTATACATACATGGGGTCTGCATCTGAAGGGTCCAGTCTACATATCCTTGTTCAAGCCGTTGTCTATTGTCATTGCGGTTGCTATGGGTGTTATATTCCTCGGCGATGCACTTTACCTTGGGAGGTACTTTATCTTTCACAATCTTCCTAAAGAGCACACTCAGAAGAATTTATCTAGCTTGTCTCTATATTGAAAAGCAAACACAACACTCAACTTTAGTGTCATGTATCTATCCATGTAACTACATTGAGAGTTATATGGTTTCTGGTTCTAATTCGTCACCAGTCACACTTAGCCGCCATAGACAGTTTCTAAATAGGTCTTTCGAGACAGCACTAACCGATGTAGATTTTGGCATATATGTTGTGTGCAGTGTCATTGGATCATTGATTTTGAGCTTAGGATTCTACACTGTGATTTGGGGAAAAGCAAGAGAGGATTCAACCAAAACTGTGGCTGATACTGAGCAGCAGTCCCCTTTGTTGCCTTCACACACCATAGAAGATGAAGCCCCATTAAGATCTGACTGATGCAAGTGGAATCTGTTTATAGTACTCATTTATAAATATGGAGCCACTAAGAGATGGTCCCCATTGATGTTTACGTATAGTTACACTACATTGTACATATGATAATTTTGTATGTTTTTTCTTTCTTGTACTGTTTCAAGGGACAAGTAAGGATTTTTAATTAATGTAAGACGACTGATATTGCCATATTACCTTCGCTATGCTTGCTTCTGAGCTCATTTTGACTTCAGAGAGTACCTCAAGAGTCTAGACATTAGATCTATGTTAAGACAAGCAGGAGAAGAGACAGTGGCATGTATATACTTTTGCAGAGATGTTGTGCCATTTTCTGCAATGATCGCAGTGGAGTGTGCCACGGTTGGATCTAACACACTGTTCAAAGCTGCAACCTTAAGAGAATTGAGTTTTTATGTCTTTGTCTTCTACTCTTCTGTTGTGGCTACACTTGTCCTTCTTCCACTTTACTTCACTTTGAAAGGTAATCTCCTCAACAGATTCATGAATGAGACTTTGGGTTTTGTTGGTATCACATGTAAACTTGAGCTAAATTTGGCGGCTGTACATGATTTCAGAGTCAGGTCATGGAGATATACCCTGAAGAAACAACCATAGTCTTCTTCTACAAGTTATGTGCAATGCTAATCTCTGCACCAGTATGTCTATTTGCAGAAAATGACTTAACCTCTTGGCAGCTTAAGCTGGATATCGCCCTCACTGCAGTCATATACTCGGTTAGAAATCAAACCTTTATACAAATTGCTTCAAATACTGACTCTTACCTTAAGATCAGAAACTAACACTCTGTTTCAGGGACTCTTTGTTTCATCATTGGGCTCAGTTATACACACTTGGGGTCTGCATCTGAAGGGTCTAGTGTACATATCCTTGTTCAAGCCGTTGTCTATCGCAGTTGCAGTGGCCATGGCTAGTTGGCTACTATATTCCTTCACCTTGGGAGGTACTATATCTTTCAACTATAGTGTCTCTTTCTTGAGAAACATAAGTGATCAAAACTTAGTTATAGGTTGTTGGAATGTTTAGTCTCATCATGAACTTCATGCTTACAATGTTGCATCTCTGTATTGTGGGCAGTGTTATTGGATCAATGATATTGAGCTTTGGTTTTATACTGTGATTTGAGGCAAAGCAAGAGAAGATGCAGCCAAAATAGCAAGTCTTTCTGAGCAGTCACTTTTGTTGCCTAAACACAACAGAGAAAATGAAACCTTACCATGTAGATATGTTGGTTGCAAGTGAAATCGTTTTTTTTACTTATTTATGGACCCATTAGAAAATGGTCATATCTTATAAAAGAGGGTAAACAAGAATTTAGTTTTATCTTCTCTTCTAATTTCTTGGATCCATTCATTGATTTTGTACCCATTTGATGTCGTCACATGTTATAAGTTTTGTAATAATTTACCAAATTTATACCTAATATAACTTTATTATTTTCATCAAATTTAGTTTTTTATTATTTGATGAGACGATATATACATTATATTTGTCATTTACTTTTATTGCTGATGTGCTGTCTCTTAAAAATACTTTTTAGATGTTCATACTGGTTTTTTTAATCTCTTAAGAATACTCTTTTTAGATGTACGAATATGAAGATGACATGTTTGTATAATTAAAAGGTCCAATTGGTGAACATCTAAAGTAATTGGAACAATTGAGAAAATGAAAAAAATAATAACTAGAGTAAAAAAGATATATGTATAGAAAATTGAAAAAAAGAAAGAGTGAATGGTGACTAAAAAAATAGTTGAGACTTGAGAGTTGATAAAAATTAAATTTTTTCTAACTATAAAATAAAAGTGAAGTGTATATTAAAATGATCATTGTTTAAGTTAAATATCATCATTTAGGCAAATCTTCTGACATCACATCTAAACTACTTTAGCCAATTTTTTCACGCAATTGTTTAGCTTAGTTTTTGGTCTCATGGACAAGTTTTATGGATATTTGAATTTGATTTTGTGTTGGTTCAAATGACTTAATTGGTAACGTCACCTACTATTTGGACTTTTATATAAGTACTTCACACGACTTGCTAGTTAAACGACTAGTAAGTTTTCACAAACATCTTCGCAATTATTTGCTCGGTTTGATCATGTTATGATCTTTGAGTACTGCGCATTTTCGGTAATGATAAAGTGTCCAGATCACCTTAAATTATTTAATTTATTTCTGATTCGACGGTTCTTATGATATAAACTTCTTGCATTACATGTTTTATCGACTTTGAGATGTTTTGGCCAATGAATCAATGATCCATCCGCCAATAGTCCGAGAAGTGACCAAGAGCTTTGTTACCGGAAAACGCTATTCTGGCCAGAAACTTATCCCTTAGCTTTTGGAACTCTATCAACTGGATTTGTCCACATGCCATTGTAATTAAAATGATAAGCGACAAAATCACCCTAACACATTGCTTTTAACAGTAAATAATATGGTTACTAGAACTCGTTTGTCGTCAATGATAAAAGTAAAATTTAAAATAACTTTTTCTAATAAACATTACTATGTAAAAATTAAATATGAAATGTGTGTTAAAATCTAGCCATAACATGTGTCGAAATCCATTTAGTTAAAATTTCTCAAAGACCACACATATTTCAGACCAAACAATAAATGTTTTTCAACCAACTCAAGTTACATGAAGACAATGATTAATCATTTCTTTGATAGAGACAGTTTCACATGTCTTTAACCCATCAAGACCCCATGAACTAATATATACAAATTTCAGAGAGAGAAAGAGATAGAGAGAGAGGCTTAACTTAAAAGAAAGAAGAAGCCAAGAACTAAAAATGATTCATGGAAGGTTATGTAACAGGGACAGCTTGATCTTGACGGCGATGGTGGCGACAGAGTTTTCTAACGTCGGAGTAAACACTCTGGTCAAAGCCGCGACTTCCAAAGGACTTAGCCCATTCGTGGTTCTCGTATACTCTTTCACATTTGGATCTCTTCTTCTTCTTCCTCTTACCTTCTTCTCCTTCAGGTTCTTCTCATTCTCACGACTCTGTTTCAAGTTTTTGATAGGTATTAAATCATATCTCTTATATAGACTTATCTCTACAGATCAAGATCTCTCCCTCCGTTGACATTTTCAATTCTATGCAACATGGGAATTCTTGGTCTAATTGCGTAAGTTTTTATTTATTTTGTAACCCAAAATTTTAGTAGCATTTGAATACATATATGTCAATTGATTGGTTCTTGATTTTGATACATTTAAAAAAAAATATATATATTGTTTATGGAAGAAATTTCTTACTTATATTTTTGTATTTGTCTTCATTAAAAGAACAGAAGTGCGTTTCAAATCTTAGGCTACAATGGGATAAAATATAGCTCGCCGACTTTATCTTCGGCCATGAGCAATGTCACTCCTGCTTTTACCTTCATCCTCGCCGTTGTTTTCCGGTAAATCTATTTCCCAAATATCTCAAATAATTGATTAGTTGAAATCAATTATAGCTTTTTGATTTTGTTTGCTTTACGTTACAAGATTGCTTATGCTAAAATACAACCGTAAACTTGAAGTTTTCAATGGTTGTTGACAAAAAGGAAAATAAATCTCTTCATGGACAATTAGAAAGAAATCCCTTCATGGACCATGGTTGATGGAAATTAGAAAAGAAAAGAGATCTATCAATCGTTATAGTTAATGTCACACATATATTATTAATAATTTCTCCAATCATCGTTTCAGTACTAGAGCTCTTTTCTCGCCGCAAGACTCGCGCTGAGTCCACGGGATTTGTCCTTAGTTTTTAGATTAATTTATTGAATTAAGGACCTAAGAACAAAACACCTTGATCAAGACTTGTGATTATAAGAACACCTTTTCTTATTGCTTTTGAAACTTACTCAAAACAGAAGCTCACAAACTCTCAATCTCTCAAACTTCTCATGTGGTCTACCACACATTGGTAACTCATATTTATACACAAAACACATAGACCTAATCCTAACTCGATTAGGACTTACAAAGATAGTATCAGATCTTAGTTTTAGATAACTCCTAAATCTCTTTAAACTTTATCCTCAAGTTAACTTATACCTCAAGTTAACTTTTAACCATAAGCTTAACTCAAACTTAACTCAACATAATTTACAACTGAAAATGTGTCAAGTCCCATTTAATATTAATGAAAATGTTTGTGCGAAAAGTCAACAAATTAAAAAATAAGCAAACGTGTATGGGAAGCAAAAAGAATCACCGAAAACGTGTGGAAAGGCAATGTTTTTGGAAATTTCTTGAAATCTTACTAACCACAACAGCAACTAAGAACAAACCAAATAACTTTTTTTTTTTGTGAAGAATGGAGAATATATCTCTAAGGAAAAAGACTAGTGTAGCCAAAGTATTGGGAACAATATTGTCAATAATAGGTGCACTTGTTGTGACTCTCTACCACGGTCCAATGTTAATGTCTTCACATTCGGATTGGATCATCGGTGGTGGCCTTCTTGCTCTCCAATACATCCTTGTCTCGGTCTCTTACCTTGTTATGGTATACCTTACAAGATAATGTTATATCCAAAATGTCACTGAAATAGTGTAGTATGGTAACTCAAAACTCGGCTATTTATAGGCTCACACAATGGGTCAATATCCATCTGCGGTCGTTGTGACACTCGCGCACAATGTTTGCATCGCTGTTGTGTCTGCATTCGTGAGTCTTTTGGCAGAGAAGGACAATCCGAAGGCATGGGTCATAAGATTTGACATAACCTTAATTACCGTAGTAGCAACGGTATTTATAACATTTTGTTATAATCTTTAATTTGGTTTCATATGTTTGTTAATTTATTCGTTTTTCTTGGTCTTGATGATATATATGAATACACATTTTTCATAGGGGATTTTGAGTTCTGGATATTATGTTATACATACGTGGGCAGTGAGTCATAAGGGACCTGTGTATTTGTCGATGTTCAAACCGTTATCTATATTGATCGCAGCCGTATCAACTTTCATTTTCCTCGGCGAGTCGCTCTATCTTGGAAGGTATAGCACAAAACTTATTGCTTCTCTTTTTCTTCATGATTAATCTCAGTTTTTTTTTGACTATGTAAATCTCATTTCTCAATCCTCCTGGTTATGTTTGGTTACAGTGTCATGGGAGGAATATTGATATCAATAGGATTTTACATGGTATTGTGGGGTAAAGCCAAGGAAGACAAAGTTGACATATTAGGAACCATAGAGTCGTCTCCTTCACATGAAGCTCCTCTCTTGGGTAATTTTAAAAACTAGTTAATATTCACTTTAGTTTTTCATGAGTGATTTTTTGATAGATAAATGATATGTGTCGATTTGTCTTTACAAATATTTGAAAAAAAAAAATGCTATGTGTCATCCATTTTACAATGTATAAAAGTCCAAAACTCATAAAAATATCGAATGTATTTAGGAGAATTAAACGAGGGAAAGCATAGACAAAACCAGAGACACATATTATTGTTTGTCAATAAATTTGGCGTTTTTATGATCCTTGGTATAGTGATTTAGTCACTCTAATTTCAGATTTTTTAAATCTTAATTTCCTTTTGGTTCCCAAAAATCCAAAGTATTAATTATTCGAAAGGGAAACTTACTAGATTGACCCAAATAATGACTTTAATTACTAGAATGTCTCATAAAATATGGGGGTTAGACTGGTTATTTTCATGACGATAATACCCTTGCTCTCTTTGTTAGGAAAAAAAAAAAGTCAAATTTACCCCTAAAATTTTTCGAAAAACGTCAGAAAAAAATTTAGGAAACTTTTTTGGTTTTTGAAAAGTCTGCTGGGTTCGTTATGACAGATTTATTTTAAATGGCAGACTTATTTATCAACGGCAGATTTTTTGTGACAGATTTTTTATCTCTCACAGACTTAATTTAACAGGTTGTGGCAGACTTAAGTTAACACCACAGACTTTCATCACTTTGACAGATTTATTAAAATTAGTGGCAGACTTATGTTCCTAGTGGCCTCAGACTTTAAATTTTCATAAAAATATCTGTCATCAAGTGACAGATTTGTTTTTGAAAAAATAATTACCTCTAATTACTAGAATGACTTAGTAGTGATAACAGATTTTTTTTGTGTTATGACAGTTTTTTTTTTAAAACAAAAAAAACTGTCAAGTGATAGCAGATTTGTCATTTAAAAAATAAAATTGCTAGATTGACTTACAATCGCAAATGAAATATTTCTGTGATGACAGATTTTATTTACATTACGACAGATTTAGGATTAGTTCAAAGAAAACTGTCACATTACGACAGATTTAGTGATGAAAAAAGAAATTGCTGGAATGACTTCGTATAGTGATGACAGATATGTTTTATGCAATGACAGATTTTAATTTTTATTCATGTTATGACAGATTTTTTATACATATTTGATGACAGACTTTTCATGATGGACTACATGACAGACTTTTTAAACACGACAGACTTTTTTGTTTTGAATTTCCATAACTGAAAAATAATAAATGACGAGATAATCTAACTTACCTTATTTTCCTAGGGTTTTGGGCTATCCTAACCGTTTCTCTACCTCTTGGACGACAGCCAACAAAAGTTCATACAAATAAACCGTTTCTCTATCTCGTTTCTCTATCTCGTTTCTCTAGGGTTTTTGAAATTCACCATGATGTCTCAAAAGAAAGGGTTGGAGATGGATCCGGTGATTCTCGTATGTGGCAAATGGATTTTCGAGAATAACAAATGGTCGTTCATCATTGATACAAATAGAGGATGTCGAGTTCTGGAAGCTAATAGGGAAACCAGTTACTCTCAATGCATTCGAATGGTAATGGAGGATTACGGAATCGAGAATAGAGGCTGTGATGTTGTGTTGAGTTACAAGATTTCGAAGATGTTGTCTCAGAATTTACCGGATGATACACCACCCGTTTTTATTACTAATTCAAGACAGTTTCACTCTTTTTTGGGGCAATTGAAGAGCGATACAATTCGACTATGTGTTGAAGTGAAGAAGAAAGTTACAATTGAAGCTAATCAACCCAACAACAATGGCATCGTTGACAGTACCTTGCAGAGAAAACGAACAAGAATCGCAAACGAGTTGGTTAAGGAAGTTACAGATTTGATTCATGAAGCTGTTGGCGATGACGACGATGATGATGAAGAAACGAGATTTGATTACTGTGACGACTCTGACGGAACAGATTCTGATGATGAGAATTATAGCTTGTATGGGATTCCACCAGTTGTAGAAGAAAAACAAATACTGCCGTTGAAGAAAAAGAGTTCAGGTATATATATTGAAGAACAAAAAGATGATGATTATTACGCAAAGTTTCAATTGCCTTCTGTGGATTTGGCTGTTGGACAGTGTTACGAATCAAAAGAACACTTGGAAACACGACTGAAGATACTAACCGTAGTACAGAGATTCGATTTCTACGTAGACAAATCGACACCTTTTCTATTGATTGTCAAGTGCTGGATAAAAGGGTGTACGTGGAGGGTACGAGCTACGACACAAAGAGACTACCCAAAGTTTCATATTCGTGTTTTTATTTCTGAACACTCATGTTCAGTAACAGAGCGTTCTGCACGTGCCCGTCAAGCAACTCATGATATTCTTGGAGTATTATACAAGGATTTTGTTGGTGGAATTGGCCCCAAAGTATTGCCAATGCATGTTGCTGAATCATTGAACAAACGTTTTCAGATCAAGGTACAAATTTTAATAGTTTTTGGCGTTTTAAAACATTACTTGGCGTTTTCAAATTTTAACAAACGTTTTTCTTAATAGATGGATTATTGGAAGGCTTATAGGACGCTGAGGTATGCGCGAGAATTGGTAAGAGGAAGTCCAGAGAGTGGTTATGAGCAACTACCTACTTACTTGTACATGTTAAGAAGGGCTAATCCGGGGACATTGACGAGACTTGAAGTTGATGAAGAAAAAAGATTTAAGTACATGTTTCTAGCCTTTGGTGCAAGCATGCTTGGATTTCCATTCATGAGGAAAGTGGTGGTTGTTGATGGTACTTTTCTACAGGGAAAATACAAAGGGACACTTCTTACAGCAACAGCTCAAGATGGTAATTTTCAGATTTTTCCGATTGCTTTTGCTGTGGTTGATACAGAAAATGATGAATCTTGGGAATGGTTTTTCAAGCAACTGAGCTGTGTCATACCAGATGATGAGGGCCTAGCCATTATTTCAGATAGGCACAAATCAATTGCGAAAGGAATCAAGGTGGTTTATCCGAAGGCGAGTAGAGGAATTTGTACATACCATCTGTACAAAAATATATTGGTCCGTTTTAAAGGTAAAGAAACATTTGGATTGGTTAAGAAGGCTGCGAATGCATTCAGACAGGTAGATTTTCAAACCATATTCCATCAGATAGAAGTGGCAAATCCTGAACTACATGCATATCTAGATAGGGCTGATGTGCGACTTTGGACACGTGTACATTTCCCCGGTGATAGGTATAACTTGCTTACAAGCAATATTGCGGAATCAATGAATAATGTGATGTCACACGCCAGGAGTTTTCCTATTACACAGTTGTTAGAAGAAATAAGGTCCATGATGACTAAATGGTTTTCAGATCGGCGGAGTGATGCATTAAAAATGACTACATCTTTGACACGTGGTGTCGAGAAAATTCTGCAGGTATATTCTCATACTTTCAATCAATGTCAGTTAAACAAGTATATTTGTTTCACTATTAACAATGTTATTCATTTTTACAGAGCCGCGTTGACTATGCGAAGTTACTTGCTGTGCAAGATATAGATGCACAACAAGTACAAGTGACAAGTGCAACATCTCTCCACGTTGTAAATTTGGTCGATAAAAAGTGTACGTGTTGCAGGTTTGATGTGGAGAAATTGCCATGTGCACACGCAATTGCGGCGGCTGAGAACAGGAAAGTCTCTCGAATTTCAATGTGCCATCCGTATTATCACAAGAACTATCTTTACAATTCCTATGCTAACGCCATCATGCCAAGGGAGTTTGCTATACCTGTTCCTGAACATGTAGCAACAACGGTTTGTTTACCACCCATACCCAAACAACAACCGGGAAGGCCAAAGAATTCGAGAATAAAGTCAGCATTGGAGATTGCTATGGAAAAGAAAAAGCCAAGAAAATTATACACTTGTGGCAATTGCAATCAAGTTGGTCATAATCGTAAGACTTGTAATCTTCAAGTTTAATTTCTTTTTTCATCATTGACTAGTTATTGTGGTGCAAGTCTACAGTTGAATTCTTTTATCTTTTTCATATAATACTTTGGTTAAATTTTGATAGATTATGTTTGTCATGAAACGTTTGAAAGATTATGAATATTCCATCTTCTTTTCATCTGCTCTTGATAGTTTTTTGGTTTCATAATTCTATAAAAAATTATGGAGTTTCGGCTTAAAGGACAAAACAAGTGACGATGGACAAAATAAGTGACGATGGTAACCACATACCAGGTCCCAACGGCGGTTAGCAAGTGAATTCAATAGTTTTTGCTTCTGTACGTATGAGAATACTATCATGAACGGGATTAAAGAACAAGTCTGAAAATAAGCATGAAAAAGTATGAAACAAGGTGACACAATGTTTTAAATCCTGGAAATAAAGAACAAAAGACCTATAAGTACGAGATTACATAAATCAAAGTCACTCATTCGATGGACTCGTCCATGAGATGAGGGATCTTGAAACCTACACCACAAAGATCAAGATTAGACGGTTTGGCTGACTCGCTCACTTCATCTAATAGCTCCGCTGCAAGTTTAACACGTATGGCATCTATGTTTTCATCGCAAAGCCCATCGAATGATTTCCTTAGAGCCAAACACTCGATGTATTTGAGTGTGTAGATAGCACAATCGCCGGGATCTTTATTCAAAGGTAACTTCTTTGTAATCCTTTTCAGGTCCAACATTGCATTACTCTTCTTACGTATGTTGATAGGTACGAAAGCACTCATCATGGCAGGGATCATCAACCGCAAAAACATGCATTGTTTCGCCATTTGTGGATCAGTGGTCAAGTGTGGGATGCTATCGTAGATGTTAATCCTCCTCACAGGCAAGTCAATATCAAGAGCAACCCAATGATCCCCATTGATAAAGAGGCAAGCATAAAGATGATCAACATCGATGAACCACTTCTTGTAAGTAGCTGATTCAGTTGGAGCTGTCCCGTTGAGGTGTTCCGCAAAATAATCCCTGAACATGAAGCTCTTACGTCCTCCTGAAAAGTGCTCGTAATCTCTAGCCAACTCCCTCATCATGTCTTGATCCAAGAAAGTAATTCGTTGATTTGGGTACGCTGAAGGCTTACGCATCAACCTTTTGCGGAACATAGTCATCGCAGCACCCATATGCTACATTAAAATGGAAACCGATTAGAATCAATAAAAACCTGAAACGATTAAACTAAACTCTTAATCTTAGATGACTTACATAATCTTTCAACCATCCATATGTTTCGTATGGCCACTCTGCTCTTGGAGTGATAATTTGCCTATAGAATCTCATATCTCCATTAGTAGTGTTAAGAAAGTCTTCCCTGAAAATCAAAACATAAGTGTGATTACAATGACAAAGTTACATTATGATATTTGAAGATAAATTAATTGTCAAGTCTTACTCGTCATCTGTCTCTAGGAAATCAAACAGTTGATGAATTTTCTCGTCAGAAACATGCATCATGTGATCAGGTATCGAGGAAGAAGGTTCTCCATCCGTAATGATGCGCTTCACTGTAGAGTTACCAAGAAACGGGTACTTTTGAGAACCAGCCAACTGTGGAACTCTTTTTCCCACAGTAACACCCTCACCTAGATCCTTTAACTTCTCTACCATTGCTGTCAATGTTGCATCAAGTTCCTTATTAGCTTTCTGCAGTCCAGGATCCGAGTATGTGTCTTCAGAACTTGAAATCATTTTCAGAGCTTCTTCTTCAACTTTGGCAGTGATATCTACAACATCGTCTTCTTGGGTAGTAGATTTCTTCTTCATCTTATTACCAGCCGTTGTAGCACATGTCTTTGCAGCCTCTTTCTTAACAGCCTCTTTCTTCACCACAGCCTTCAAACCCTGGTTCTTAGCAGCTTTTTCTTTCACTGCAGCTTTCACCGGAGGCTTTGAGACACCTCTCTTGGCAGGCTTTGTAGCTTCTTCTTTCAGCGGAGCCTTTTCAGACTTTTTCCTCTCAGCCTTTGAACCATCTTTCTTTTCAATTAAGATAAGATCTTCAGATATTTCACCTTCTTTCTTTACTTTCTTCTGAACAGTATAAGTTTTCTTCACCACTCTTTGAACAGGCAAACCATCCACTGAAGATGGCTTCTCCTCTACTTTCCAAGACTGCAAAAAATAATAAACGTTATCAAAACAGTATTTTCATTCACCATTTTGCTTAATAAGATCAACAACTTTAAAACTCACCAAACTATAACTTGCAGGAGATTTACTCGATGCACCTTCATCTTCATTGTTGATGGAGTTGGCGACTTGGGCAGTAGGTATAGAAGCTGGTTTTGCGTGTTTCAGTTCCTTCAAATCAGTCTCGACTGCTACAATCCGTGAGTCAAAGGTATTCTCCAAGTCATCGATCCTACTACTCAGATTCTTACCCATGTCTACAATACTCCCATTCATTTTTTCCATCATCAATAAAATATCAGAGAAGCCTTTCTTGTCATCCTTATCAACCTACAACAAGTAAGATATTCAGATTTAAAAAAAAAAAAGTTGAAGCACAATAAGTACATTACTATAAAACACAACTAATCAGGAATAGGCATGAAAACATAACCTGTATATCTTCTGAGACTATCTTCTCGTCTTCTTTTTGAATTTTGACTCTTTCTTCGCCAGAGAATTCAGCCTTTTTGATCTTTTTCCCCTTCCGTGTGATACTACCTTCTTCATCAACAGTAGCTTTTACTTTCCGTTTCTTCTTAGACACACCATAAGCTGGCACACCTTTCCAAGCATCTAAAGCCAATCAATTATGGATGATATCTTTTATCAAGTTGTCTAGTGCTGGATCCTTATCCTCCTCCGCATTATTCCATTGAGGGTACATGTTTTCTTCAGTTACAGGAATCATGTGTCTTACACGCACCTATATACAACATACAAAATGTACACATAAAGAAGTTACTGCTTTGACACATATAGACACAACATTTAAAAGATCAAAAACTAACCTGCCCATGCAGCTCCTTCTCGTTTTTAATGAATTCTGTTAGGTCGATATCCTTCCGAGTTGACTGCCAATCAAGAAGTGGAATACCAGTCAAGATAGGCCTTCTCAACCCATAACCCTCTCCTAATCCAGGGAAACTCTCATACACCCACATAAGCAAAGCGTGAACGCATCCTTTAATAACATAACCCTCTTTGTTAAAGTCAACTATCTGCACCGCTTTAAGTAGACATTCAAAAGCCACTCGTCCCCACGGATATTTCTCAAAACTCACTGGATCAAGAACTCTTATAGCACTAGACAAAGGAAATCTAGATCCGTGGTGCACTCCATGTATTGCCACTGATAATAAACACAACCTACCCACCATCATCCTCTCCTTGAAGTCCCATGCCTTGCTAAGATCCATCACAGTTCGCAACTCATTGAACTTTGGACCTTCTGAGATTGGTACTTTCATTGCCTCCCATAGCTCACGGTGATCAGCTTCAAACTTTTCCGACGGGTCAAATGGATCGCAATTCAGTCCTGTTATAGCAGCAAACTCATTTAAGGAGAACCGGACTGGTCTACCATCAATCATAGACCATATCTCATGACTGTTATCCACTTTCAACTGATTTGTGAGGAATAGATGTACTTTCTTGGCAGCCCATGTGTACTCTAGTTCAGCTAGCTTGATAAACACACCTAGTGATGATTTCTCCAATTCATCCCACACATCAATACCTAATCCTTCTCTGATTTGACCAATCTTGGACAGATAACAATTGTGGTTCATGCTTCTATGTTGCAAAGGTGATTTCCCTTCTGCATAAAGACGAGGAGGATATTTGAAGACATTACTCGAAGACGCCATTCCTGAACATTATCAAAATTGAGATATCAGTTTCAATAATCATATGTGACTTAAAGTGAATGACATTAATTCATACTGAGTTCTTGTAATCTGCTCCCTAGTAGCACCGAAATGACAGTTGAGTCTTGTTTTATGAAAATTTATGCAATGCAGCAAAAGAACAATGAGAAATCAACAAAAGTAGCTATTCAATCTGTAAAAAAGGTGAATCACTTAGATAAACTTCACCTAAGATTGATTTCCCTTGTTGCTTGAACTTGAACCTACAAGAGAGATGCCACGAAGAAATAAGAAACGGATCGTGTTCTCCTAAGAAAATATGAAAAGTTAGGGTTTTAGAGAATCAATCAAAATTGCAATTCACACAAATAATTTCAATAGTGAAAAATTAAACTAACCAATTGTCAATTGAGCATAAAGACGTCGTCGATGGAGGAAGAACGGTAAAGGTGATGGCCAATAGCTCTGATTACACCGGAAAATCAAATGAACAGATGATTATAGGACGAGACCTCGCAAAGCAGAACCACAGAGACACAAGCGGCGATGGCAAATGAAGATTAGGGTTTAGGGGAAACGCCGGAGACTTCGGGAAGACCTGGAAGTAGCCGAAGACGCCGGAGAACCAGAGAAATTGGCGGCGGATTCCCCAGAGAAAGAGCACCGTCGTTCGTCTATAGCCGCTCTTCTCTAATCTTCGGCGTTTGCGGCTGTTTTCTTCGAATCAGCGGTGGAACTCAATTTGCAGCGGATTCAAGCCTTCGACGGAGCTCCGATTTCAATTCAAGTCTTCGTCGGAGTGAGTAGCCTCGGACTCTAGCGTTTGCGAAGGCTGAAAAAAAAAAAAAAAAGAGAAAATCGTAAATACATACTAGGGTTAGGGAAGTGTTTTTTTGTTTTTTTTTTGTGTTTTGTGTTTTTGTGTTTTTTTTTTTCTTGAGACTATTACAATTAAATTGGGTTTTTGGTCATTTAACACAAAATTTGTGTTAGTCTAGTAAACTGAAAAATCAGAGTGTTAATCTAGTTATTAATCTCCAGATTTGAGTCAATCTGGGTAATTTTCAGTTATTCGAAATTGATTAAGATACATTACAAAATATATACACATCAGATTCCTCTCTAGGGTTTCGTCTGAGAGTAAATCAATGGCTGGTATCGACCTCCCCTCTGATTTGGTCATTGACATACTCGCGAAAGTTCTGGTTAAGGATCTGGTCCGGTTCATATGTGTCTGCAAACGATGGAGATTGCTACTATGAAGCAAGAGCGTCATCAAAGCACAAATGACTTACGCCCCAAGAAAGATTCTTGCGATCCAAGACAATGGAGATTCTCCTCCTCGTAGCATCCTTTTCGAACAAGAAAACAATGGTAAACCAAAAATGACACTCAAAGATGCCGATCTAACTTACGGGGACGATAGTTTGGTCGATTTGGATGTGATTGGACATTGTGATCCGGCTCCAAGACAGGACTTTAGCTGTTTGGAATCCGTTGCTGTGACAAGTAAGAAAGGTATCATCAAAATCCACTAAGCCAATAACTTCTCATGATTTGATAGGTTTTGGTCATGATCATTCAATTGATGATTACAAGATCGTGACTTCTCAACATTGTCTGAAACTATAATGGCTCCAAAATATTGGTCTCGAGGCGAAATCTTCACAGTGAAGTCATCTTCGTGCTTGAGTATTGGTCTCGAGGCGAAATCTTCACATAAGAGGGACTCTTGCAGGCAATAAAATCTTCTGGCAAGTGAACAACGATCCAGAAACGCAGCTGAATCCGAAACTATCCTTAGTTTTGATCCATCGTCAGAGAAATTCTAGTACAAGTCTGTTCCTAGAGATATTAAAGGATTAATCCGAGGTTTAGTTGCAGTACGCGGATGTCTAGGGTTTGTGGAAATGTACCTGTTCCAAACAAACAATGCATAAGATAGTTGTTTGGACCGCAAGTAATGAAAAATCTTGGAGCAAGTTTACAGTTGAAGAGTGTTCCCATGATGGCATTTAGGGTCTCAGAGAAACGACGTCGCTTTACTTGGGACGCGTAAGAATAAAGATGAATGGAAAGTGTAGTATTTGGGACACGAAGCTATGGAGATTTTTACTTATAACTTGGGAGGATGGTAAGTTTATCGTTGTGTATGTTGTACTGATATAGACTTGTATTTTGGGTATGTCCGAGTTTACCGTTTGTAATCGATAAATTATGAAGTTATTTGACAAAAACGAATCAACATTTTCTAAAACAATAAACCACAACCATATATCAAATACTTAGACCCCTCCACAGTTACATATTTCAACGAAATTAAATTACAAATATTTTTCTCATCAAAGCCACCTAAATTTATAATATGATCTTATTACTGATTAATTAATTAATTAGTGTTGATTTAAAATAAAATACTCATGCTAATTAGTGGATTCATACTTTTTATTAAATATTTTAAGTTATGGAGCATTGATATCACTAGAATTTTACATTGTGTGTTATGGAGAAAAGTAGACATATCATTAGAAACCGTAGAATCATCTCCTTCACAAAAAGAATTCCCCACTAATTAGCATGTTAGCTAATAATATCTCATACATTTCACTTTTTTTTGGTATATATGATCATTCCACCAATAATTTAAACTAAAAGAAAAAAAAAAGAAAAACATAATCTTGAGACATATAAATGCTATTGAAAGACTCTTTCTTTTTCTATATGCTTCATTCTCAGAGCCGTGCAAGGTTTGAAAAAGAAACCTTCGCCTATGGCATCATTTTTTGGAAAACTATTAAGCAAGCCCTTAGTACTATTTAGTTGTAGTTTTATCCAATAATTATCCACGTTTACTTTTCCTACCTTTTAATTTGATTGAAACTATTCAATTTTAATCAATTTGATAAGTGAAACAAAAATGAATAAATAGACAAGTATAGTCTACATCGTTTATCAAAGTAACCTTGTTCTCTCATATATTCTTCTTTTTGTTTTTAATCGTTCTTAGTAGAACACTCTATATTGTTGAGGTATGGTATAAGATTAATTGGGATATTTGGCTATATTATCTATTGAAAAATAATATAATTAGTTGAAAATTTGATTCTCAAAAATTCATTATCATAAGAAAAGTTTATGTTTTATAATTAGTCTTTTGTTTGCTAGGTTAGTTCTTTATATGTTTTTATTATTTGACGATGGTGTTTAGTATTGTTGATTGTAAATTTCTTTTATTATTTTTGTTCGCTTATGGCATCAGTAAACGTTGGCACGACTCTGTTCATTCTGGATATTTTGCCAAATACACAAATGTAAAAGAACAAGAAGAATCAAGAAACATCAAATATTTGATTTGAGATTTTGAAGCTCTTTGTCTTTCAATGATTCTGTATTTGTTTCCGTGACATTCCGTAGACAAGAATTTCTCTTTCAATAGTATATGTGAAACAATTAATAAATCAACAAGTTTTGTACAAAAAGAAAATTAACAATTAATAACCCCACTAAATCAATATTTTCAAAAATAAAATATAAGCATCAAGTCAAATAGAAACTTCAATTACAAGTCCTTTCTCATAAAAGTCAAAAAATTTATTATGATTCCAATTAATTTTGTAATTAATGTTATTAGAGTTAGATGAGAAGAGAATTGGAGAAAGAAGAAGAAGAAGAGATGTAGAAGAAGATGCTTTTACTTCATTGTTTCTAGATCATCGTTTACAGAGAACGATAGAAAAATACAAAGAGGAGTCCATTTTCTCATTATTATCCTCAAAAGTAACAGAATCATCAAGATCAATAATGTCAATGAGCTTTCGTGTCTTGTTTTCTTCCTTACCCATAGAGTGTGTTTGACCACTCCTTGAAACAAATTCTGATGCACTCATAGAAGCATGAACACTTATTGTCGTCGAATCCCGCATGAATTTGCCTAGACTTTGAAAAGGAGAGTTTGGATCACCAGCAGAGCGAACCATTAGGTCTATCCCAAAATGATCATCAATGGCAAGTTCAAACTAAAATACAAGTGTTGATTAGTGGACTTGTACTCATTTTACCAAATCTTTTGAATTATGGAGTATTGATCAATAAAAATGGATTATCTCTTTCTCTCTCTAAAAAAAAAAGAAAAATTCTCATGTGAAGAGAGGTGAAATTATGGGCCCACTTCCACTATTAGTGGTGCCACTAAGAGCGATTGCGGTTGACCCATTTTAATTAAAGATAATTTCGGAATAGATGAAAAATGCACAAGGAGGCCTCCCGCAGTGAAACTCATTGAATAGTATGGACCTTCATTGATACAATTCCGACAGTCACTCCCTTCTACAACACTTTCAAAAATACTTGACATTCCTCCAGCTATCACACCTCCTCCGAACAACAGATATGAATCAAACAATGCAGGGAGCTTGTTGCGTAACGCCACAACAACTAGAGTAGCTATATGGTTGTCGACAAAGCTATTAACAACTTTCTGAACCCGTCTTACTCATCTAGTCATATCTTCATCAATCGTGAGATCGTGTTAGCGTTATATGGTATAAACCCTAATCTGGTGCTCTAGTGGATTAAAGACAATGAATGAATGGGTCAGTAGAGAAAAGTTTAGTAAGAGAGAGAGAAGAATGAGGAAAAAATGTCACAAAAAACCTTTATTTTTATTTTTTATAGATTTTTAGCTGAGTGTGCTATTTGTTTTAAATGTTATGTGTTTTAAATATTTTTAAAAATATTTGTTTTGTTCCGCGTTAATTAGAAAATTTCCGTCTTAAAATCGTTCTCTTTTTAAACAACTATCCATTTTATAATATTTATTTTCATCCAACATATAGAAAGTTGGGTAAAAAAATCGAACCGGATACCTATATTTCTTTTTTAGGATGGAAATTATTTAAATTTTCTCTTCATGTTTTTGATTTAAATAGTGTTTTAATTACTTTAAATGTTATGTAGAATCTGTTGTTATTCAATCAAGATTTTATTAAACTCTATTAAAGTTTGGTGTTATTAGTTTATAATTTGTAAAATGTTTTCTAAAATCTTCATAAATTTGGGGTTATTGGATTCAAAATTTTAGAAAATCAATAAAAGTTTTGTGTTATTCAACTAAAATAAAAGAATCTTTGATTGTTAATGAATTAAATTATTATGTTATTAGTTTGTGATTTTATACATTTTTTCATAAAATATAGTCAAGAAAAGTATCCGCAAAATAGAAAGATGGTCTGATAAACTTTGCGAGATTATGGAATAACTAATCAACAAAATTATAGAAAACTCACTATCAATCGTTTAGAATCTTTCATTTATTTACTTTCTATAATTTTATTAAAGTCATCAAAACACTATTTAAATCACAAACCAATAACATCCCCTTAGAAATTTTCTAAACTTTTTTCCAAAACAATCTATTGCAACCAAAGATCGAGAAAATGAGTGAAAAAGCCATCACCTTTTTCAAAAACATTTCTAAAAAATTTTCCCGATATAAAAACTGTTGTACTGTCATGTTCGATGTACCCTCCATGTTTTATGTGCAAAACATTGTACAGCCCATAGCCTCCATTTCATATGAACAAAAAATTGGAATGCCACATTTTGTACTACCTTCTTGTAAAACATAGGTGATTGATTGGGTAACAAGGAAGGTGATATAATCCTTACTGCCAATATATAAAGTCACCAATCAAAACCTTAATTGTCTGAAACACCAATTCTGATTGAACTACATTTGAATATTCATTTTCCTTACTTTATTCAAGATCCTGAAGGACCGATACATAAAACAAGAGATGTTTTATCATGGAGCTTGAATCTTTTCACTAGTTTCGCTATGCTGAGAAGTTGTTGTTCATTGGTTTACCTTCCATGCATTCTACATGCTTTGTAGTACGAGGATGTCTATTAAAGGATTGATCCAAGTTCTTATTTGCAGTAGGGCTGTAAACGGAGCGGATATCCGGTTTTTTTAGGATATCCGTATCCGTATTATCCGCCAATTTGGTATCCGTATCCGGATCCGGAATTCCGGATATCCGGTATCCGGATATCCGTTAAAAATCCGGATATCCGCGGATATCCGCGAATATCCGTAGACATGCAAAAAAAAAAAATCATTTTTCATATAAAAATACTGTATTTTCGTATAAAAATACCGTATTTTCGTATAAAAATACCGTATTTTCGTATAAAAATACCGTATTTTCGTATAAAAATACCGTATTTTCGTATAAAAATACTGTATTTCGTATAAAAATACAAAATAACCGGATATCCGTTATCCGTTTTTAAAATTAACATTATCCGTATCCGTATCCGTATCCGGAATATCCGTTATTTTATTATCCGTATCCGTATCCGTTTTCCCGGATATCCGTTTTTTCGGATAAAAAAACGGATACGGATACGGATATCCGCGGATATCGGATAATAATCTCAGGCCTAATTTGCAGTACGAGGATGTCTATGTTTTGTGGAAATGTACATTTTCCAATCCAAACAATGTGTAACAGTTAATGAGTGTTTGGACGTATAAGGATAGAGATGAATGGAAAGTGAAGTATTTTGGGACAAGAAGCTATGATGATTTTCACTTATAACTTGGAGGATGATATGATTGTTCACTTTACAATTCTTATATGATTTATCTCATCCATTTCACTTTCTTTTTTCATACTTTTTTGGGGACATTGAGTGTTCTACCAAGTTCAAACTGAAAAGAAAAGAACATAAAAGAGACAAAAAAATTACCAACGTAATTTTTCCTGCATATTTTTCCAAATACAAAAACAAACAGAAATCAAGAAAAATAAAATTAAGGTTTGAGCTTCTCTTTGTCTTTCCATGACTGTATTTGCTTTTCTGTCCTTCCATGGACAAAAATCTCTATGCCTCTCCTTCTGGTTATGGTTGTGCCTTGTGCCGCCTTCTGTTTCACTTTCTTTCTTCAGTCTTGAGATCATCAGACATAGCAGAAGGTATGCAATGTGTGGTCAGAATATCTAAAGTTGCTTCCTTTGCTCTCTTAGTTTCCAGAGTAACAATCTGTAAAATCACCAAAGAATTTTAGCTAAAAAAAAATTCACCAAAGAATTTTAGCTAAAAGATGTTATAAGTTTTTATTAAAGCTAAGGGAAGAATAGAAAATAATATACGGTATACCTGATCATAATCTAGATTAAACGTCATATATTCATCCTCACACTTCTCCACCATCTCAGCTAAACCTTTCAAGTTTTTCACAGGTTTGCCATTGAAAGCGAGAACCTACACAACGGTTAAACATTTAGAGTGACGGACATATCAACAAAGTGACAAATGATATATGCAATTTTACAAACCTGGGTGTTGACAATCTCCTCGTATCCAATGTTAATGTCAGAAACAAGAACCTGCAAGTGATATTGATGTTGAGGTTTTGGACATCAAACAGGAATAATATTAGTAATTGCGTAAGGAGTTGACAAAAGAAACCAACCTGTGAAACTACAACAAGCTGCTCGTCCACGGATTGAGCCATTGCGTGAAGATGTTTCTCCAATAGCTTGACAGGTGCGTCAAATTCATATTCTTTTCCATACTGCAAAACATATTATTGGGAAATGGTTATATAAACTGTGACTGGATGCATGAGAGAGTGGCTAGTAAAGAGAGATACAGAGAGTAAAGGACCTCAGATCGAAGATATGGAACAGAGACAGTTGTAAACACAAAGCCAGCAACAATAAAGTAAGAAGGAGGTTTGCCACTTATGTGTGCAGGGATTAGCCTCTTGTGGATTGCAAGTTTTATGTTGAACTCTAATATTTCTTTGTTTCGTAGAACCTTCACAAGAGCAGAATCTCCAGTGTACTTTTGAGATATAAGATAGCTAAAGCCAATTCGTTCTCCATGCCTAAACGGAACTGAAAAAAACAAACAAGCACAGAAATGTTATAGTCAGAATTGTTTAGACTTAAACATAAATAACCTCATTCACTGGTCTCATGAATGAATGCTAATAAGATATTGAAAGAATTATTACCAGTTCCATCATTAGCGATATTAACTCCGTCAAAACTAAGGATAATATCGGATGGCTTCAAGACCTGCGATTCAGGGGCAGTTGGCTCGATTCTTCTTATCCGCACTCCCTTTTGATGAGATTCCATACCCATTGACTTGCGCAAATCAGGATTTTCCATCTTTTGCCACTCAATTCCAAGAACAGGAAAACCTAAAACAGTACAAGTATGAAAATATAGCACATGTAGAGATAACAAACAACATAATCATCGGTGAAACTTACCTGTGTATTTATCATGCTTCTCATAATCTTGAATGAAATGTACAATCACTGGTGTGGGAATGACATAACCAATATTCTCAGCATCTTCGTGTTTCAACGACTGAAACGCAATGCCAACACATTTTCCTTTGTCGTTAAATGCAGGACCACCAGAATTCCCAGAATTAATAGCTGCATCAATCTGAAAAGACAAAAACAGAAAACAAAAGTATAAGTGCCCATAACTTCCTAGTCAGAAAAATTAAAGGAAAAAAATCATGTCAAATGTGTTGTCGAACCTGTAATCCCAAAAGCTCGGTTGATCCATGTACATACGACAGTATCTCCATCCTCGAAACAACACCGCTTGTGACAGAGATTGTATCACCACCAATTGGATAACCAACAACAGTAACAGCATCTTGCAAAGCTGGTAAATCACCAAACTCCACAGGAGATACTCCTTCCCAAAACTCATCATCCGTAACAGTCAACAAAGCTGTAAATCCAAGTGTATAACATCATCAGCCCTTAGACAAGAACAGTAAAATTCCAAACTTCACATTTGCCAATGAAACTTATAACAGACATAACAAGGAAACAAGTACTATCCATTAAAAAAACAAAAAAATTTCACTACTGAAACTTCATTTGCAACTCAAACTACACTAAAAATAGTCTTAATATCATTTATAAATTATCAGTTACTGTCAACAAAGCTGTAATCACATACTAAAATCGATAGACTTAACAAGGACATACTGTTACCCTAAATATTCAATTCTGACTACTTAAAACGTCCATTGCAACTCAAACTACACTGAAAACAGTCGTCAAACAACAGAAAACTGATGCATAAATTAGATGCAAGATTCATACCAATGTCACATTCAGTTCCAATGGCCAAGACTGTCGCCAAATACTTAGTATCAGAGCCACGCTTTTTGAGTTTAACTTGAGTATGATGCTCAACAGAATGTGCATTAGTCAAAACTCTTCTTCCTCCAATAATAAAACCACTACTACCAGAACTATACTGTCTTTTCCTTTGCCATGGCAATGAGAAATTAGGCTCAGTATGAACACAAAAGACTTTAACAACAGCATCCATTGAAGGAACAACTTTAACAACAGTTTCCCAACTCGGAGCAGCAGGAATCGATTCAGTAGTTGCTGAAACAATCATCCCATTGCTACAATCACCATTCTTCGAATCAGAATGATGAAGACGAGATCTACTACGCTCTGGTGACGACGTCCTCTGGTTATTAGCTTCTGATTCATTGTTCAATCTACGCTTTTTACCTCTCCCACGACTCCGTCGCGATGGAGATGGGTTTGCTTCAGAAGCTGAAACAGGCTCAGGAGACTGAGGTAACGATGCTTCGTTAACGGAAGCTTCTTCAACTTCGCCGGCGGCGTTTCCCGCCGATGAAGCATCTTGTCTTTTGTGTTTGCGTCCTCTCTTTTGAGAAGTCTTCATCTTTTCCATCAACCCAGAAGGAAAAAGATGATCTTTTTTCCTCTGGATTGTAACTTCTCAGCGAAATTGAAATTGAAATTTTCCAGAAAACGCGGCTAGGGTTTATAATCGGAGAGTGAGGTAATCAATCGCACAGGATAGTTAGAAATCGGCGATCATTGTCTCGTCGTGTCGTGTCTGAATATAAGACAGATGGGCCTTAAGCTAGGCCCATTAGTTAAATATAACGAGCTTGGGCTTTTAATTACCGAATTTAACCCATCATTAGGTTAAACCACAAGCTTAGCCTAGTTGGTGAAATTTCATCTCAAAATTCTAAACCGAAATTACACAGATTAGTAAGTAAACACAATTTCCCCATTAATTCGGCTAAGAAAATAAAATAAATTTTCCCAGAACATTGAATTTCCAATTTATTATTGGAAAATTATTGGTATTTACTATTTAGAGATAGGCATTTCGGTTAATTTTCAATTTTAGATTTGGTTCGGTTTGATTAATTTGGTTTAAATGAAACTGTAGCTGAACTCAAACCGAATTTACTAAAGTTTCAATTTGAGTTTAGTTTGGTTTTTATTTTGTCGGCTTATTACATCATCACTAGATTGCTGATAATGCTGATAACCATCATCATCTTATTATGATGATAATCAAAAACCTGCAACATATGCGATTATGATGAATAGCTTCCACGAACAACGATTCCACAGCGCAGCTCTTTCCGCAACATTCGGATCGTCAACGGACGGTTCTACATGTACGACATCCCTGCGATAGACATGCTTTTTCCGCAACACTCAGACCACTACGAACGGCTCTGCATGTGGCACTCTAGACTTCCGATAAGTTTGGCACCATTAATGTGCAAGTTTAGTGTGGTTTTAGCTCAAGAAAAACAAATTAATAAACATAACACGAGTTTGAAACCGAACCAAACCAAACCATTCGGTTAGGTCGGTTCGGTTCGGTTCGGTTAAAATGAACAAACCAAATCTGACAATTTCATGATTTCTCACTTTCCCTTTTGAGTAAATCTCTCCGCAACACATCTCCAAATTTCCCAGATTTTGATCCAAAATCCTTTACTAATTTCCCAGATCTCTGTCTCCGATCTTCAATTCTGACTTGAAACCACAAATGTCAGAAGGCTACGCAATCGAGCTTTACTTCGATCCAGCACTCGAAAACCAAGTTTTGAAAGCATGGAACGTCTTCGCTCGCCGTCAAATCAGTACCAAATTGATCAACACTGAGTCTCGTCCACACATAACACTCTTCTCCACCTCTTTCTTCGATTCAACGAGACTCGAATCCGTCATCAAAAACTTCGTATCGAAGCAAGAACCAATCTCGATCTCGTTCTCTACTATCGGTACCTTCTCTAGCGACAACAACGTACTGTTTCTATCTCCAACACCGTCTCTCTCGCTTCTTCAGTTACAGTCTCAGTTATGTGACACGATGAAGAAAGAATCTGTTGAGATTGGTGAAGATTATCGTGTTGATTCTTGGGTTCCGTTTTGTCCTGTGGCTCTTGATGTTCCTAAGTCACGTATGGCTGAGGCTTTCTCTGTGTTGAGAGATTTGAAGCTTCCGGTGAATGGTTATGGTATGGAGATTGGTCTTGTTGAGTTTTCTCCGGTTCGTGAAGTCTTCTCATTTCCTCTTGGTAACACTTTGGAGTCTTGATCTGTTGTGTTTGGTTTTATGTAATTTCTCTATGTAAAGCTTCGATCTTTACTGTTGAATTCTAAGGAATAGTTGGAGAATTGCTATTTATCAATCTGAACTGGGGAAATTTCTTCACTTTCAAGCTTTTAACGATTATGTATAAGCGATCTTTAATAAATTGCTTAGAGAATCTTTAGAAGTTCACATGTCTTTACTGTTGAACTTGGAATTTCTAAGGAATAGTTGAAGAATTGCTATTTATCAATCTCATCTTTCCCAGTTCTCTTATTATATTCTCAGCTTTTGTTTATATGTGTTTTGATCTGAATGATGTTATGATTGCTAGAGTTAAGAGTTAGGATACAATTGAAGCTTTGTGTTGTAGTCATGGTTGGTGAAAAAGTTAGCTGTTGCCATTTCTGTCTCAGTTCTCTGTAATTTTTAGTCTCTGGAGTCTGGGACAAGTTCTGTTTAAGGTGGTCTTTTAGATCGCAATGATCTGTTGAAATTTTCCGTTACGTCGATTTATTTCTATGTCATCCATTTTGGAGTTTATGCACTTTGAGATTCTTTGGAAGATCACAGGACATTTTATGTTTCATGTCTTCACATGAACCCTAAGAATGGTGAGACTGTTATTCCTCTGCTCAATGTTTTTTGCAGGCTATGATCATGAATACATGAAACAATGCCAGGTATGTACAGTTTTGTATATGTCCTGTAAATTTGTGTCTTCTCTTTGTAAAACATATGACTAAAGGTTGCTTGCTATGAGAATTGAATCAAAGACATCATCACCTTCTACTTTTTAAAAGTTCTTATCCTCAAGATTTACCTTAGTTGTCTAAGTAAGGCCATAAGAAACTCGCTCCAGGCATCGATTGGTCCAGGCAAGCACCAGTGAGTACAGTCATTGAAACCCTTCATCCATTTATTCCCCCCGTAAGAATTTGGGTGCCCGTCTGGTCTCATTAGCATAACCCTAGTCACATCCAAAACCGCAAACTTCTTTTTTAAGCTGTTACGTTTAATCTCTTCAAGCTGTTCTATCTGAGATGCTCTGATTTCCATATCGCTACTTCGCTGGTCGATTTCATTTACCCTAAAGGGGCTCGTCCTCCTGCACGCTCCTCCAGTGTTCCAAGTCCCATTCTCAAAATGGGTAGGCGAAAACGTCCTGAGAAGCGTCACTAAGTTGTCTTTGCAGTTATGACATCCATTGATGTGCTTAAAAGCAGCTGAGAATACCAGCTTAAACCCTTCTTTCAAGCTAATCTGAGTCATGTTTGGTAAGTCACAGAAGATGCAACCAATTGTCTCATCTCCTCTATGTATGTATATTGGTCTGAATAACCAATGACCAGCTGAAACAATGGCAATGTCTGTATTAGGCAGATCCTTCGCCTATTGCTCATCGATGTTGTCAATGTCGAGATCATAAATTCCTGTTCCGGTCTTGTTAGCATGAGTCCTCTCGAATCCTGCCACTAGAAACTTAGTCCATGAGGTAGATAGAGTGAAGTCATGCTCTCGAAAGTACCATATCCTGTTTCTGTCATCTGCATCCTTGTAGATATCTTTTGGAGTTTCTTCCTGTGAAACCAAAGCAAAGAAACGAGATTTCTTAAGTCACAAGCTTAAGGAGTTATGTCACAAGATCTTATGCAAATAAAGTCTTACCATTGACAAGAGGCAGAGAAGAGACTCCATGTGGTTTCTGGCTACTGAATCACCAATGAAATTCATCTTTTTGCCGCGAACAAGATCGAGAAAAGCTTTGGGATTGAATCTCGGAAGTTCACATCCTTCGGGTTTCCATCTCCAGAACAAGAAATCTGTGTTTGGTCTCCCATGTTTTAAGCAGTTTTTCGAGTCGGTTATTGTAGGGCAGGAAAAGTTTGTGTAGAGAGACCTCTTTCGTCTCGAATCCATTGTCCTTTAGACAAGTCGCAGTCCTTAAAATCTAAACCAACGACAACAATTAACAACACAACTATATGACTATATCTACGCCAAAAAAATTAGATACTCTACAAAAGTTTTCATCCACCAAAGTCATGCTTTATAAATAAAAAAAGAATCAACAATTTTGGGATTTGCATTTCAATAATAAGAACATTTAAACTTACTTAGTTGAGGTTCGACGTAGAGAACATTGTAATCGTTGATGGGGTTGAAAGAATTATGAGGAAATAAGAAGAAAGTGATGGAGAATAGAGTTATACAAAGCAAGAGATATAGTGCCAATGTCCATATGGTCGTCACTTTCTTTGATTTTTTCCCACAAGTTTGATGATAAATCCATCGTTGCATACTTGCATGTCGACAAGCATCCAAAAAATTACCACCATATATGTGAACTTGTGAACACCTATTTATATACTCAGATGTATTCATTTCTTCTATTTTGTTTTGAGTTAAAGATGAAATAGAAAAAAATCTAGAGATACAACAATTGATTTAAAAGGAAATATAGCTATGAAGTATTTGTCTATGTAATGTTTTGGAAAAGGTACATGCTTTTATGCTTAGTATTAAAATATTTGTTCTTGTATGAGGTATAATGCACTTTGTAAAATGGCAAGCAATATGTATATTGAATAGTAATTATAATCTATTAGATTCTAGATTTTGATATACACTAATTTTCCATTTATAGTATATAAGAATTATTTTTTATTTTATTTTTAAACGTTAATTTTATATGCAACTTTGCTCATTCTTCTTTGTTAAATTTTCACTTTTGCCTTTTTTTTGTTATTCTTTTTAATTTTTATGAGTCGATTCGTACGTAGTTAATTTTTTTTTTTCGCCATTCGTATGTAGTTAATAACTTAATATGTTGGGTATATGATCATTCTAAATTATGATGTCTTTAATCACTTTTTTATTATTAAAATAAATAAATAATTTTTTGAGAAATTCCCAAGAATAGCACTAAAACAAGTTTTATAGACAATAATAGCACACACTCCATAAAGTTCCAAAAATAGCACTAGTTGACTTACTATTAAGTTTTTGTTCTAAAAATATGATCACTAGTTTATTTTTTCAATAATACCACAATTTGATATAAAAACTATTCAACCAAAATAAATTAGAAATAAATTTAAAATATTATATTTGGGTTCTTTATTTCCAATTTAGGGTATATATTTCTACCATTTAAAAGAGATTTTGATTCATTTTAATATTAGTTTATGGTATTATATTTGGGTTCCTTATTTCCAATTTAGGGTATATATTTCTACTATTTAAAAGAGATTTTTTACTTTAATATTAGTTTGTGGTATTATATTTGGGTTCCCTATTTCCAATTTAGGGTATATATTTCCACTATTTAAAAGAAATTTTGATCAATTTAATATTAGGTTAGTGTTTGCCCTTATTTTTATTTGCTATCTTATATTTTAATTAAGTTTAATTGAAGTTTATGGTGCTATTTGTGGAATTTTAAAAATATTGTGCTAATTTTGGAAGAAAAACTTTTTTTGGTACTATTTTTGTCAATTGCCCTAATTTTTTTATAACAGAATTTGGTCCGAAGGAGAAGCCAAAAACAGATTTTAATAACAAATTAACAATGGTGTCTTTCGTTTTATCCATCTCTCCACAAAGTTGTCTACTTCCACGATTACCCATCTCTGATTCTATCAATCGCAAATCGAAACTCGTGTACTGTCTCTCCACAAGTGTCCGAGGAAGCTCCGTCAAGAGACAATCCACGGCCAGAACTCGAAGGTTCACTGAGACAAATCGTCGAACACCTTCCGTGCAATCCAAACATGAATTCTGGGAAGACCCAGATGATGGTAGCGACAGTGAAAACGAAGATGAAGAAGAAGATGGTATTGGGAATGATTTAGATTACGAAAGTGATTGGGAAGATGATGACTCGAGAGCCCAGAAACTTACTACAACAGACAACTACGAGGAAGAGCTTGCAAAAGGTTCTTCTTCAAAGTCTCTCAATTTACTAATTTTCTCCAAATTGTGTGTAAAAAATCACTCTTTAGTATGAAGAAGTGGAATAGTTTTAAAAGTTTGTACTTTTGTGTGTGAATGTGTATCATTTGCAGAGGTTGAACAACTTCTTGAACCTGAAGAAAGAGCAATTCTTCAGCAAAATGAGAAACCAAATCTCAAGATGATCTCAACAGTAAGTTTTCATGTGATTTTTATCTTCAGTAATCAGTATCTCTTATATGCATATCAATCTGTGATCATTTTGCTTCGAATGTCGTGGTTTTGATTCACTTGGTTTGTATACTTAATAGTGTAAATATGAAATTTGCAGAAGAGTTGGAAACCACTACAGACACTTGCTCTGTCAATGCAGATTCAGTTAATGGATAATCTCATTGCAAATGGACTAGACATTGATGATGTTGACAAGGTTTGCTTTTAAACATGTAATGTTATCTGACCAAAATCTGGTTTGTGTTCTTTACTATATCGTTGACTGCAGGACAACCAAACCGCTCTTCATAAAGCAATCATTGGTAAAAAAGAAGCGGTGATTAGTCATCTTTTGAGGAAAGGAGCAAATCCGCATCTTCAAGATCGGGTGAGAACTTGTCTGGTTTCATTTACTTATATACTCATTTGAAAAAGGTTCATACTTTATTAACCAGATTGTTCAAACATACAGGACGGTGCAGCTCCGCTTCATTATGCAGTTCAAGTTGGAGCCTTGCAGACTGTAAAACTACTAATCAAGTACAACGTAGACGTCAATGTTGCAGATAATGTTAGTACTTAGTATCAACAAAAAGCATATCTCAACCCATTAAAGATTTTCAGATTTCTATTCATTTCTTTGAAGATACGATGAAACTTTCTTTGTTTTACAGGAAGGATGGACTCCTTTACATATCGCTGTACAAAGCCGAAATCGAGACATTACAAAGATCTTGTTGACCAATGGTGCTGATAAAACAAGACGAACAAAGGTGTTTATGGCAAAAATATGTGTAGAGAAAAACTGAGACTATTTGAATAGTCGTTTTTTTTTGTTCGATAACAGATCAATTTGGTTTTGGTTTCTTGCTGTCTTTTTAGGATGGGAAACTAGCTTTGGACTTGGCTTTGTGCTTTGGAAGAGATTTCAAGTCATATGATTTGGTCAAGCTATTGAAGATTATGCCCACTGGAGATATATAGAAAGAGTTGGTGAGATTCTGAATGATCAGGTTGAGATTACTAAACTGCATTTGCCATTGCTTGGTTTGGTTGTAATCTAAACCGGTATAAGTGGTTAAGGTAGAAGGAACCCTATTGAGTTTGTAATTACTACTTTTATATATTAATTTTAATACTGATTATCAGTATTTTAAGAAACAGTTTCGACACTGGCGCCCATGGAAGTGCCTTTGCCATCTGTACTACCAAAGGCTTACCCAATGGTCTGCCTTCACAGTATCTAGGGCTCATCTCAAACAATGAAGATTTCTCCAATCATATAGTAGCAGTTGATCTTGATACAATGAAGAGCAGTGCATTTGGTGACATGAATGATAACCATGTTGGTATCGACATCAATGGCTTGGAATCAGAGAACGCTTCTTCAGCAGGTTATTACGAAGACGATGGTACTTTCAAAGACATGTCTCTTGTCAATCGAAAACAGATACAAGCGTGGATTAAATATGATTCCTCAAGGAAACAGCTTGATGTCACACTGCATTCTATCAATGTCCCTAAGCCAAAGATTCCACTGCTTTCTCTAACCAAAGATCTGTCGCCATATCTCCTCGAGTCTATGTACGTTGGCTTCACTTCATCCACAGGCTCTGCTCTTTCATCTCACTATACTCTTGGTTGGACTTTTAAGCTAAATGGGAAAACTTCAAATATAGATTTATCTCGTCTACCAAAACTTGTGACTCTCGGAGTAGTCTGAAAAAGATCTTGGCTATAAGTTTGAGTTTAACTGTCGTCGCTGTCCTCATCATCTTATCATTAGAGTTTATAAAAGGAGGAAACAACAACAATAACCAAGCAAGTTTCACTTACGTCCATGTGACCAAAACAAGTCGAGATTTAATGATGAGGAGGAGTACTCGGCAAAAAGCAAGAGCGAGACGAACATGATTATTTATTATGTCTCGTCTCTTATGTTTCTTAAGTGAATTAATCAGATAGTTTATTCATGCTAGTAACAGCTTTTATATTAAATGGTAGATGGATGATACAACCTTGTCGATTTCTTAATACTAGTTGATTTCATATCTGCCTTCTCGATTTATTGATACAGAAGGTAACATTCAAGATACCTTCTCGATCGATTTATTGAGCATCCAAAAACGATTGTTGTAGCTACGTTACTATCATAATTAGTGACTAATGGAAGAAATACGGGGATATACAAAATGCTGGATTTATATAGAAAGCATTTGTGAATTAATGAATGATTTGATTCTTAGGCTTGTGTGTTTCCTGGTCATATCTACACACATAAGGTAAGTCTCAATGAGCCTTAACGTAGGGAGTTACTTTGTCTTGTTATTCCATATATGGAATAACATATCGTGGATGAACTTGTTATTCGGGTGTGTGAGTCACAAGCATTGCAAGATTGTGCAAGTGTATGTACCAATAATAATTTAAAGGGTTATGAATTGACTTTTATTGGGTTCTATAGGAAACAAAGAGTGAAGTCATTGACTCCTACGAACTATAAAATAGGGTTTTGTTACCAACCATGCATACATGCACATGCACCTATTCGTTGATCATTTCGCAGCAACATATTTTACAAGTACCGGTCTCGTCACGCCTACAAAAAGCGGATTCGTAATTATATCCATATTTTCCAGACACGCAATCCGTAAAGCATGAGTCCGTGTACGGTCCAACCGGATGTTTGCAATCTGCTGCATCGACTGATTTTGGTCCTGCCAAAAGAGAAGCATTAGAAGCTATATATGCATGTAAGTAGTCTTGGCTAAATAAATGCTATGTGTTAGAAGATATATATGCATGTGAGTAGTCTTGGCCAATCTAAAACAGATTCGGATAAAGAAACTATGTCAAATATCAATTTGTTGTATTGAAAAACGACGAGGACTAACCAGAAATGATGAATATGATCATGATGGTGCTAATCAAAATTAGTAGAGGAGAGGAAGATGATCTCTTGGATTCCATTTTTTTTTATTTATTGAGAGATATGGTGTTTTTAATTTACTGATCGAGAGATCATGGTTTTATAGTTTTTTTTTTTTTTTTTTTCACTTTTCCATATTGTGACTTGTGAGATATACCATCGACTAAAAATAGTTATCACACATATATCTTGTAAAAATGGTTGAATCTAGAAACAGTTATTTTAAGGAGAATTCATCTAAAAAATTAAAAACAACTAATTCAACACGCTTATCTAAATATACATTTTCAAAGTACATTTTAAAAAAAAATCCCTATTTTTGAAAAGTGTTTACATTAGGATGTCATTGCTTACCATTAATTCTCTATTATTCATAAGCCAAACATTACTAAAAGATTTCTTACATTAATTACAAAATCAAAAATATTAATGTTTCACAATTAATGATATAAATATTTAGAAGATTTGGTCAAGATTTAAAATTATGATTCTCTTACCATCTTTGTTTGAGTTTTTAACTGTTTTAAATCATCATATAATACATAAAGTTTATAGAAATCTCAATTTTCCTTTTCTGCATATATTATGATTTGAAATTTAAAAAAACAGACATTTAGTACTCAATTAATGAAAAATTGTGTGTTCAATGCCCCACATGGCCACATCGGATAAAAAGATTTCAAATCATATAAAAGTCAATGTCATATAAAAACCAATACACTTTAATTTAATTTTTGTTGTATAATATCCATAAGCATTGAAGTAATTGTAATATTGGTAATACTCAATTACAATTTCTTCAAATTTTTGTTACAATTATCTCCTTAATGTTATATTATCAACTTAGAATCATGTTATATGTATTTCATAAAAATAAAAATTCTTGTAAAATGCATTGAATACATTATATGACATGTGAATCGGACCATAATTCTAAAAAGTTCACAACCGGGTCTTAGCTATCTCACATTTTTTTTTTTTTTCTGTCTTAATTAATTTTGTTCTGATATTAGTTTTTTGCCATTTTTCTGCTAGATTTAATGTAACTGTAATACAACAATATACCATTTTTGTGTCGATTTGAATCGTAGATAACAACTATTTTTGCCAAACCTCTATTTAAAACCGAAAACCAAATACAATCAACCGGTTTAAGAAAATAAACCGGCTTCTATAAGAAAATAACCGGATCCTCTTTCTCGTGATTGGTGGTTGTACTGAACCAAAGCGCGTGCTCTTCACTCTCACACTCTCACTCTCTCTTCGTCTTCCATTAAATCTCACCGCCTCTTTCACTCTCACTCTCTCAAGCTCAAGAGTTCTCAATCTCAAGAGTTCTCAATCTCCTTCAACAATGGCGGACCAATCTCAACTCAATAATCTCACCATCACCATCATCATCCTCTGCTTCTCCTTCCAATCACTATCCTCCGCCGCCGAATCTCACCTCACCGTCGATTTCTACTCCAAATCTTGCCCTAAATTCCTCGACATCATCCGCGAAACCATCACCACCAAACAGATCTCAAATCCAACAACCGCCGCCGCAGCTCTCCGCCTCTTCTTCCACGATTGTTTCCCTAACGGCTGCGACGCCTCCGTCCTCGTTTCCTCCACCGCTTTCAACATCGCAGAACGCGATTCATCAATCAACCTCTCTCTCCCCGGCGACGGATTCGACGTTGTAATCCGAGCTAAAACAGCTCTAGAACTCGCTTGTCCCAACACAGTCTCTTGCTCCGATATCATCGCCGTCGCGGTACGTGATCTCCTCGTCACCGTCGGTGGTCCTTACTACGAAATCTCCCTCGGCCGTCGCGATTCACGAACTTCGAAATCGTCTCTCGTCTCCAATCTCCTCCCACTTCCATCGATGCAGATCTCGAAGCTCATCGATCAATTCAGCTCCAGAGGCTTCTCCGTTCAAGAAATGGTCGCTTTGAGCGGTGCTCACACCATCGGATTCTCACATTGCAAAGAGTTCACGAACCGGGTCAACCCGAATAACAGTACCGGGTATAACCCGAGATTCGCGGTAGCTTTAAAGAAAGCTTGTTCGAATTACAAAAATGACCCTACGATCTCTGTTTTCAACGACGTTATGACTCCAAACAAATTCGATAATATGTATTTCCAGAATATTCCGAAAGGTCTCGGGTTACTTGAATCGGATCACGGGTTATTTTCCGACCCGAGAACCCGACCGTTCGTTGAGTTATACGCGAGAGACCAAGCTCGATTCTTTAAAGACTTCGCCGGAGCTATGCAGAAGTTGAGTCTTCACGGTGTTTTGACCGGACGGCGAGGAGAGATCCGACGAAGGTGTGATGCGATCAACTAAAAAGATTCTTCTTGATTGGTTTTACGATTTGTGAGATTTCTATTTTTGTTTATTTATTTAATTGTTGGTGCGTTTAGAGCAAAAGTATGTGTTTATACGACGATTGAAATTCATATTATTAGTCGATTAAAAAAATAAAATTTGTTTTTAGTAAAGATAATTACAATTTAAATTGAAAAACCTAAGTATAAAAGGAAATTGATTTGCTAGAAAGAAGGAAAAAAACAAACCCTGAATACATTGCCTCTTCAGCGAGGTAAGATAGAGAGAACGTGAGAGATCGATCATGGCGACTTCAACATGTGAAACAACAAGTTTAACACATAAGGAAGTTAACGTGGCTGTAGAAGTATTGATAGAATTGAGCCAATATCGACCTCGATATCGAAGACAGTTACCAGAAGAAGAAGATACAGATGATGAAGAGGATATAGATGATGAAGACGATATAGATGATGAGGTTGCGTCGACTCTATTATTACAAGTAAGCCAAAGTCGTCAAAAGCAGTTTAGGAAGAGGGAAGAAAAATCTGACAAAAATCAACCTAAGAGGGTTAAGAAACAGAACATCATGAAATTAAATATTGATGACTTTTCAGAAGAAACTCTAAGGTCAATTGAGGTATGGTACAAAGATGAACTCGATCCACAGGATATATTCGGCGATAATGAGGTGACGAAGCAATTCAGCAAACCGATAAAGAAGCAGTTGATGTCGAGCGACGTCGATAAAGATCAATGCAGGCTCATGTTATCTAAGGAGCAAGTGAAGGAGAAGATGCTTCCTTTTTTAGATGAATCAGAGGATCCGGTAAAGGGGGTTGATGTTTCGGTGTATGGACCAGACGGGACAGTTCACGAGATGAAGTTCAAGATTTGGAATGGGGATAAAACACCTGTGTTAACTTCAGGATGGAAGCAGTTTGTGGCAGATAATGGTCTTGTGATGACTTCTAATTTTATCACTGTTTGGATGTTTAGGCACATAAAGACTCGAAACATTTGCTTTGCTATTGCCAACAATAGTTTTCCTTTAAAGAAGAAATCGAGTCGATGATCTTGTAGACTGTTTTCTTGAATCCAAATTAGGGTTTTTGGTTTTGCTTTTTAGGGATTTTGTTTCTTTTTATTTCTGTCTTTTTTTTAAGCGTTAACTAAAAAAATTATCAGGGTTATTAATTAGGGTTTTAGTTAAGGGTTTGCTTTGCTATTCAATCCACAAGTATCTTAAACATAGAAAATTAATATTTGACAAGTTATAAATATTATTCTAATTTTAAAATACATTTAAAAAAAACAAAATCCTTCATATCTCTAATGAAAAACTCTTCAATCTACCATTACTATTCTAATTTCCAAATAGCATTCTCAAATATTATTATTACACAGTTTTATGATTCGATAAGATTATTTTCTTTTTATTTGTGATGTTTAAGATAGTTTTTTGTTGTTTGACAAAAAAAAGATAGTTTTTTGTTTTATTTCAAATCACCTTAAATTTTTCAATCTATGTTAATTCATTTTCTTAAAAACAAAGCACCACTTTTTTATTTAGAAAACATTTATAATATAGAAAAATTTATTAATTTAACTATATATATATATTATAATTAGAAATAATAATATGTCCTAAATCCTTCTTAATTTTTTATCGGTAGTCAAATTTTAAATGTCTATTTTCATAAATGAATTGTTTTTTATTTTAAGTAAAACCTTTATATTTGGTATTTTTTTAACTCTTATTTTCTTTACTCTACTAAATAATTATAACTAAAAATAATTGTTGTACCATTCAAATATATGATAAGTTTTTTTTTTTCCTATCTCTAATTATTTTAAAATATTTACTCATTATATGCTAAATCCAATCTCGATTCAAATATTTTATGTTGTATATTTATTTTTTATTTTTTATAATATTTCATTTAATTTTTTGTCAATTATTATTTTTATTCAATTCGTCAATTAATTTTACTCTTAATGTTTTTTGTTTTAAAAATTAAAAATATGGAACAGACATAAAAATAAAATATGATGATATGGATGTTGATGTGAGCATCATACATGGAGAGAGAACTCTCTAATTATATATATATAGACTTCCAAAAAAATTTGTATTTACAAAATGTGCCGGTATGCCCACATATATATTGTTTTTTTTAATAATGCCCCACAAATTTTGATATCTACATAATGACCATGTTATTCATAAAGCTACCCGAGATATCTCTCTTATCTAATTAGACACCCCAAAATTCATGGTTTTCTTACGGATTAAATCATTTAATTGTTTGCAATCTCTTTCGAATATGATGTTGTTGTATTTTCTAATCTTTGCATTGCCATAATCAAAATTTGGAACACTTAATTTCTAAAGCACAAGTTGAAAACACTCCAACACCTAGATTTTTGAACTAGAGAATCAATTCCCATTTCTTAAGAAATTAAAAGTCCTCCCTTATTAGTTCCTCTTTACAACTTTTTTCATTGTTTCTTTTCTAAATTTTAGAAAAGCAAAAAGATAATACGAAAAAGAAAGGATGGGATTAACAAAAAGAAAAGCCACCCAAATTACCAGATAATTCAAGAATCCACCCAACCATAAAAATTCACAAAATAAAAATCTCTCATCTCCAACTAATTTACAAACCCCAACTCTATTATTTAGAAATTAAAAAAGAAAAAGAAAAAGTCCCAAAACCCACAATTAAAATTTTAAAAAAATAAATAACGAGTTAAAAAAAGACACGTCAAAACTCGGCCGAGTTAACACAAGATTTCTCACCACCGAGTCTAAACCGGCTCCGACTAACATCACCGGAATTAAGCAACTCTTCCCAATCAATCTCCTCATTCTCCGGCGAATCATCATCCTCCATTTTAGCTCTCAACACTTCCAAAACTCTTCTCGCCTTCTGCTTAGCTCTTTCTCTCCCACTCCTCTCCACTTTCACCAACTCCTCCACCGCATTCGCCGCCATAGCCAACCCCTTAAACCTCAAACCACCGTCATAACTCAACCCATACAAAACCGCAACACAGCTCTCCCGAGTCGACTCATTAACCTCTCTATCTCCTCTCAAAACCCCAACCATACATTCAACACCACCCGAGTCAAGCAAAGCTGGTCTACTTACCGGACACGAAGCCATATTACAAAGAATCAACAAAACACGACCAATCATCTGTCCTAACTTCACCATACCCAAAAGCATCTGAACAGCTCCGAGCTTCACAAGCTTCCCTCTATTACTCTGTACAAGCGAAAGATGATACAAAGCTAAAGCTGAGTCATGCCGAGTTAACTCAGTACCAACTCTGATCAAATGAAGCAACGGTTCTAAACCTCCGAGAACACCAATCGCCGTCTTGTTATCGTCTTCAAGAGCTAAACTGAAGATAACTCCGGCGGAATGCTCCTGAGCTTCGACGGAACCGCATTTCAAAACGTCGATCAACGGAGGAACGATTCCTGACCGTACGATCTTAACTTTATTAGATTTCTCCAAAGACAAGTTCACAAGAACCGCCGTGACATTGACCTGAACCGTCGCGTATCTTGAAACGATAAGTGACTTAAGTGCAGAGATTAGTCTCGTTGTACATAAACTGATTCTTGAACTTTCATCGATTCTTGTAACGCGTCGAATCGAAATCAAAGCTTCTTCAATCTCTGAGATTCGATTACTCTTTAGCTTTGTTAATAAAGCTTCTTCTTCTGGAGTTAGGTTTGGTTCTAAAGATTCGATTTCTCCAGATGAAGGTGAAGAGAAGCAACTAGGTTTAGTTGTTAATTGTAGTGTACGGCTTGAAGAAGCTATTGATTCGTCGGAGCTTGAATTGAAGTAGTTAGGCCTCCGGTCAAGCTCCGTCGCGGCGTGGTTAAGTCTCACTGATGGTTTATCTCTAATTGCTTTGATAAGTTCCTTCTCTGAAACTGAGACTTTTCTTTGTGGTGTTTTCTCCATTAATGTGAGTATAAGCTTCTCCGCGGCGGCGGAATTTAGTGGCTTCGGCGGTGGAAAACACCGTCGTTCGCACCAACTGAGAATTGCGGATTTTAAGGCGAGATTTGGTATGACGGTGGAGAAATCCGGCGGTGGATTTGGAGTAAAGCCTAGGGTTTTAGAAGCTATGACGCAAGCTCTTTCGTAGGAGTGACCGGAAGAGACGATGATTGGATCAGACATTAAAGAACCTGAGATCGGACAGAGAAACTCTGCCGGAATCTCTGTTTTGGTCGGAGAATTGTTTGATGAAGAAGATGAAGAGGAACGGGATAAAGAGATTCTCCATTTGGATTTACCGGCGAGAGATTCTCGTCGGGAAAGGTTGTCACTTTTATCGTGTTGAGAGTGAAGAACCATGAGATTGATGACTGGTCGTTGAATCTCCATTAAAGATTGGATTTTTCAGAGTGGAATTGGTGAAAGTTGAATTCTTGTTGAAGAAGAAGAAGACCCATGAGTGTTCTTGAAACCTTAAAAGATGAGATTTTTGTGGGAGAGATTTGAGGAAACTGTAAATGAGTGATTTTTGGGAGGGAGTTTAGAAGAAGTATGGACTTGGTCATGGTGTTGTATTATCATTATTATTAGTTGTTATGATGTAAAAATTAAAAAATCAAGGATTTTGGTTTTTGGTAGGTAAAGTGAAGATATGTCCTTTGTGAGAGTTAATTGATTGGAGAATTTTTCTTTGAGTTGAGATTTTGTGGATTCACATGTGTGTTTTTTCAGCTGTTTTGTATATAGAGCATTAATGATGTTTTTTTCTTTTCTTTCAACATTTATGTACAATCAATTCTTCTTTGGGATTTCCTTTCACAAAATTTTTTTTATATATTTTTGAAACAATTCATATATATATATATATATATATATATATATATATATTTGGTGGATTCAAACCTTTTAGATACCTATGATTTATACAAAAAAAATCTTCACTATATATTGATAAAATTAATTTATATTCATATTATTTTTTTTTTTTAATTAATATTGCTAGCTAGATAATTAAAGTTTAAGATATATAAATATATATGACCCATATGAAACAAAAGTGAGAAAGATAAATAAACCTCTAGTCCTCAATTAGTGAGAAGTTAATCATATTTATACGGTGACATAAGATTAGTGATATTAAGCTACTGATTCTTGGTCAAACTTACATTAATCTAAAAGGTTAATGATATGTCATATGTCTAAGATGGAGCATGCTCAAAAGAAAAGGCTTAGTTAATGTTTCATGTTTGATGCAATTATGTGTGTTTTGCTTTATGCAAAAACACTGTTTTTAACCAAGAACAATACTGTCGTTTTCAGCTTTATGAATGTTCAAAAAGTTTCTACTTTTTGCTTTATGTTTTTTGCCCTTTGTTTCTGGGAATTGAATTTGTTTTCTTCTTCCAATCACTTTGACAGACATTTTCTCCAATTTAGTATTTTGTTTACCCAATGATAGAAATTTTTATTTATCCTGATATTAAAATGTTTATTGTTTCCTCATGATATTTTCGCTATACTAGTAAGCAAAAGTATTACTTAACTAGTAAATTAAAATATTTATCTATATTAAAAGAGAAGATTGTTGTAAAACAGATTAATTTACACTAGGCTCAGAGCTTATCACTTTTATAACTGGAAATTTCTCTTTTGTTTTTATTGCATGGGAATAAAGTAAAGAAATGATAACATAAAAAGAGAAAGTAAAACAATTTTAGTAGTTTTGTATTAGAAAAATAAAAATAAATTTAACATTAACAATTGTATTCTTAGCTGCTAAGACTACAGATAGGTCTATGTATAGAGGTAGTGTATGTATTTTGTATGAATATGTATGTGTATACGTGTAATCAATGATGAGAAAGACACAATCTTTAGGCTTTGAAGAGTGGTTATAGGCTGTTTATTTCAATTCTTTGCTTACTCTTTTTGCCTTTTCCTAAAGTGAAGATTCGTTGTGCCAATTTTCTTCAATAATAGAAATCAGGAAGTAGAAACACATTCTGTTCACACTTGACTCACACCTTAGATTCAATACGTCAAAACTAGTAAATAAACATATCAAACTACATTTTG